CGTGCTTCTCTCGAGTGTGGCGTAGGCGGAACGTTAAACATGCTGTCTCCAGCCGAGCTTGCAGCACTGCTGGCAGCCCTCCGCCTTGACCGGCTATCGCTTCGATCCCCTAAAGGGTGCATCAGCTTTCCAACTGCCTTTTTCACAGTAGATCGTGCGCGCTCCAGGAAGGCAATAGGCACGACAGCGCGGGCTGCTTCCTTGTCGTTGACCTGGACTCGCCTGCCCGAGTTCTTGGCTGGGTCAGTTTCAGCCAACCACGCTTCCACATCTGGAATCCCTTTCGCAACCCAGGCATGGGTCTTGATATCCTTCAGACGAATTCGCTTGTCCGGGTTTTTAGTAAACATGTTTCGCAAAAGGTCCTGCAAAATGGGGTCGATGTTTTCGTAGGCAAGTTCGTTGTCGTCTCTGTAAGGAGGCCCATTATGCCGCTTGAAGAGAGATTCAGAGTTGGGAGGGGTAGAAGGATCCACTGCCCTGAGGCGTTTTTGGGGGATGAAGACATCTTCAGTAGCAATTTTCCGAAACATCTGCCATTCATCTTCGGCCTGGAAAGGAATACGTCCGTAGATGAGGCAGTAGAGAGTTACGCCCAGTGACCAAATATCGATCATTTCGGAGATTTTCGGTTGTTCCATGCGGTCCGCGTCAGTGTAGCACAGTTCAGGTGCGAAAAATGCCGGGGTGCCAACTGTCTTGGCCAACTCAAGATCATCGTCAAAATCTTGCGCTTCGGATTCTGAGACCGTCTCATCGTCAGCCTCGCCTTCTCGGATGGGACGGCCAAAGTACGAAACACCAAAGTCAGAGATCTTGACGCGGTGATCTTTGGTCCACAGCAGATTGGCAGGCTTGATATCCCGGTGTACGACACCTTGGTAATGCAGGTACTCCAAGCCTAAGACAGTGTCTCGGAAAGTTGTCCTTGCCTGGTCGATGGTAAAGCAAGGCACGTAAGAAAAGTCTTCAGCGAAAGGGTCGTGCATCCTAGTGTTCCAGTCGACCGAGGACATGTGCGAAATGATGGAGTCAGCCATGCTAGGTGAACGACCTCGAAAGGCCGCGTCTTCCATGTAGGCGCCATACATGGTGCCATCAAGTGCGGTAGCTGAGCCTGGGTTGCTTGTCTGTAGCGGGCCTGGCGTCTCAATGTCCTCGGTGTCGTCGATGGCTTCCTGGTCAAAAACGGCGTCGCGAATTGACTTGACAGACTGAGATCGCGATGGCGCTCGGGATGTAGCCCGGGATGCCTGCAGCGAATTGGGTTGTGATCCTTCGCCTCCGAAAAAGTCCAAGGCTCCTAGGTCGTCCTTCGAGGGGACGCGGGATTGCGATCCACAACTCGCGTCGTCAGAAAGACCGTGCTCGAAGCTCCAGTGTTCATGTGTGTTCATGTTGGCTCGAGACATCTTTTCCCGCTTTTGCTCCCGGATCTTGTATCTCTCCTCCATTATCCTTTCATAATGCTCCTCCTCTGGGGTCAGCGGCTGGCCTCTGGATTCTCTCTCAATGCGACGACGCTCGTGGTGGCAGATGTGTGGTAATCCCTTCTTTCTCCAGACAACCTCGCCTAGCTCCACGTGTTCGAGAATCAGGTAGATCTTTTTCAATTCCGGGTCGTCAATAATCTCCAGCAGCGAGACGACGTTGGGATGCCTCATCTTCTTGAGGATGGCGATCTCTCTCATCGTCTTTTCCTGCGGGGACATGGCCATGACTTTGCCGAGTCGGCGTCTCTTAGAGTACCGCGGAATGATCTTGATAGCCACATTTTCGCCCGTCTCGAGATTTCGGGCAAGCTTGACCTTTCCGTGCACACCTCTGCCAATTTCTTCGATGACTTCATACTGGTTGATAAGCTTGCGGCCGGTAATGCTGTCGGAGTCAATCAAGGCTTTGTGTGTCCTAGTCACCGACATGGTTAGCTTATCAGATAGTCATCCCCTTGTCGCGGGGCCCGCGGCTGGCCCCCGCTGTCAATTACGTAGTCACGATACCGCCTCGAGTGGTAGAGAGTCGTCGATTCACGCAAAGGCTCTGTCCAAGGAAAGGCGCGACCACAAAAGAGCATAGCGAATGGAAAAAGAGGTGCACTTACTCTCTGACTTTGTGGTTCTGGAGAGGGTGAAGGTAGGGGCTGCTTGTCTCGACGTTCGGAGTGTTTGAATCGGACGATGCATGGATCGGAAAGTTCATCTTCGGACGTGGGTTCGAGGGACTGAAAAGTCCCGGAGAGGTCATTGGCGTGCTAGCGGAAGACCTCAAAGGTAGGGTATTGGAAGTGGGCGGCACAAGGGCCAGCAGATGAGGGTTGTGAGAATTCCTCTGGTGAGGAAGAGACTGTTGTGGGTCCATAATATGTGTGGAAGCGCTCAGGTTCGACTGGTCGTGAAAGTCTCAATCGGCGAATCGACATAATGAGGGGCGTGTGAGAACGAAGAACGAGGCTCGCACGGCGGCCGAGGAAGAAATCGCAACGACAAATTCGGGCTTTAGATTGCCATCATGGTAGAAGCGGTTCGATTGTGTAGTGTAGGCGTAGATTTGGGTTGGGTGAGTGGGAAAGAGGTCGAGGAAGGATGTCTGGATCGTGATGAGCCCGCAGTGACAGAGCGAAGGTTTGGACGAGCAGTCGAGTCGTTGTGGTGCGAGGGAGAAAGTTGGTTCGCAGATTTCGTTGTCGGGAAGTCGAAATAGTCGTCGGAAGAGTCGCTGGCAGAAAGGCAAAGTGCTGGGGCAAGACGCAGGCGGGACGCAAGATGAAGTATTGTGAGGCGATGTGAAGTCAAAAAGGGTTGGATGGACAGACGGTCGAGAGACAAGACCGGAGAAGTTCGAAAGGTTGGCAAGGTCAGGTACTTCCGGGGGGTGGACGGGACTAAAAGACGAGGGGAGGAACAAGACGAGGGATCTCAGTCTTTTTTTGGTGTGGTGGGTGTGGGTGGGTGTGGATTTGAAAAGCCAAGCAAGGCAAAGCCAGGCAAGGTTGGGAGTGAGGGGAGGCAATAGTGCACAGTACGAGAGTACCTAGCGCGCGAGCCAGAAAACCCGCGGAGTGTGAGGTCGGGATGTGTGAGTGTGTAAGGTAGTGTACGTAGTACGTAGGTATGTGTGATTTGGTGGGTGTGTGGTGTGTGAGAGTGAGGGAAAAGTGAGAGGGTGAGAGAGAGTGAGAGAGGGGGAGGAGTCCGGGGTCGGGATCGGGAGTCTGACTGTGTGAGACTCGAGAGTAAGTGTTCCCGCTGCCGGTGCTTGCTCGTTGGTGTTGCGTTGGTGACTGAATGGGGTTATTGGTGATAATGATGGTGTGTGGGTGAGCGAATTGGGAAATGGATGGGGACCAAGAAGTTTGGTTTCTCTCTGTTCTTCCCTTATTTTGCGTCTATTTTTTATTGGGGAGAGGGAAGGAAGTGGTGGTGGGCGCCGCAAAGAGTGGGACATTCACACACCTCACGTTCAGCGGCGCCTTTGGTTTCGGGTCGCAGTGGATGGTGGAGAGCAGATGGAAGGCACGACTGATTCCCAGACAAATTGACACTGGCCGACACTTTCTGCTGTTGCTGCCGCTGCTGCTGCTGCCGCCGTCGCTCCTGCTCTTTCTCAATCTATGTTCTACCCCGTGTGTATCTGCCAGAGTTACCCTGTGTGGGTGTGTGCGTTTTTGATAGAGACGATTGGAAGGGGGGGGGGGCGGAACCTGGAAAGGTCGGGAAGATGAAATAGCGACGGGACACAACCCGAGGAAAAGAAAAGACAGGCCGCAGGCCATGCTGCGCAGGCGCGGCGCCCGCAGTGGAGTCCATTCTATGTTGGACTACGGATGGAGCTGGGAATTATTCTCCTACGAGACTCGAGTAACGAAAGTGAGTAGAGAATGAGTCCGAGGCGCTCCGGCTGCTCAGACCGGGCTCGCTCTTAACTCCCGTCTGCCTTCTTCCCTTCCAGGTTCTTTCCTCCCTTCTGTCTTCTTCCTGACGTGCCCTCGCTCTCACGCCTTTGCGATTCGAGAGATCCGTCCTCGTTCGCTATTAGCCTCGCGCTTTTGCACAGGCCATCGTGCAGCATTAAGACGGGATGGCGGGAGGAAGAGGGATGCTGCGAAAAAGAAGAGGGCCGGGAAGGAGGGGCGCCTACACCTTGCGAGTTGCGACCAAGGTACCGTGCACTGAGGGCCAAAAGACACGGTATGCGCGTCTGTGCTTTTGGGCGCGGCCAACATCCTCCTGATTGGCCCCGATTGCAGAGAAGGACCTTATCTTGAGTGGGTCTTCTACATTGGGACTGGCGTTGCGTTGGGGTGATGCTGGTGGATATCCGCACAGGTCACCGCCTGGAATTCCCCTTCTTTTTGCACAGATTGCTGCAGAGATAAGGAGCATCCGCACCTGGTCGTACAACGAGGCGCAAGCACGGCCCAAGGTACGTTCGAAGCCATGATCCTGCGGTGCCTTCCTGACTTTACCCAGTACGTACCTACCTTACTCCATGGTAGGTATTCCCCTCAGGTACGTCCTCACTGCCGCACATTTGACGTCCAGATATCCTCAACACTTACAGAGTATCGCTGCTCATATTACGCATGTTGCGTATCAATTCCAGTGCAAAGTCCATTCGTCCGACTCTTCAAGGCAACATCGTACTCAAACGGGCTATCTGAGCACTGTGGCACGACATGGTCGGAGAGCCTATGAACAGCACGCGCAGCTCACTTTTGCGTCCCAGTAATTAACACCTCACAGTGACCCAACAGAGCAAACTCACCCTGCAGGCGCCACCTCATGCAGCAAAGGCCAAAGGCTACGATGGATACGCATCACACAAGGCTTGGCTCTCTCTCATCTCGTCCCATCATCACGAGCAACCAAACGTCGTTAGCAGCTTGTATCATCTCACAGACCTGTGGCTTCTCGTCTAGGCCCTCCCAGGTGCGGCCTGGCCGTCGTCGTAGCTGAGTAGTGTACGCCTCTCCCATCTATCGGAAGTTCAGCTACGATGACATGCCATTATCTCCAAAGTCTAGGGAAGTCGGCCGAAGACTGACAGGTCGAGGCATGTAAGCTAGCTCAGCTCAACTGGGACGTGCAATGCAGAGCCAGCAAAGGGTGTGGCAGCCGCCTACGATTGACACAAACCCATCCACAGCCCGTGTTTCGACTCGTCCAACTTTTCTAGCTACCTCGCCGGACGTAGCATGGCGTCCACTAGAAAGTATGGGCAGCTCTTGGGTTGGGTTCCCAGCATCTATCCATCTGCGACGTTATGCTGCACTCTACTTGCCGACATCGAGCTCCGTCGAATCCGCCCTAGGAGCGTTTCGATTCTATTCTCTGTCACCTTCCTCCACCATGCCCGTTTCTTGCAGTTCCTTGCCTCACCCTCACAGGAGCAATCAGTGTCAGTGACATCCCATCCTCGAATCTCGATGACGGATCATTCTTCAGAGAATCAAGAAAATCCCATACAGTCCAAGACTCCAGTCAGGTACGAATGGATCATCATACGACCCGATAGCCGCACATGCCTCGCACCACGTCGCTTGCTCCATCTAATTGACCTTCTGCATGCTTGCATAGTTATGGATACCGTGCCCCAGTTCGGAGCGGTGTTCCTTGCAAGAAAGAGACAACTCGCACACCTGAGAAGTGAGAACAGGTTGTGTGCTGTCTTGGCCAAGCCAGGAGAGGCAGCGAGCTGTGGGCGATGGGCATTGGCAAAACCGCAAAAGCCAAAAGGCCTGGCGAGCACAGGGGTCCAAGACGGATGGATGTGCGTGCATTGGCAAGGATGGCCGATGTTTGGCCCGTGCTGCGGCAGCGAGTTCAAGATTCGAAAAAAGATAGTGTCAGACAAAATTTTGGTGGCAGTCCAAGGCTTGGCTGCTTGGGGGCCTGCAAAGACAGGATCGCGATAAAAAAAAAGATTTTAAAAAAAAAAAAACCCCCTCGAAAAAAAGAGAAGCGAGCGGTCCAAATCCTCACCATCCCGACAAAGATACGTACCGCTCCAGTTTCTGAGGGCCAAAGCGGGGACAACGGGACCGCGACCGGGGCCGGGGCAGGGGCAGATGGAAGCAAGACTGCAAGACTGCAGGAGCAAGGGCAAGGGCAGCAGCTACGGAGAAAGGGAACGAGGGACTTCCGACCAGGTACCTTGCCTTATCGCGCCATGATCTGCATCTCGTCATTGGTCCGCTGGAGCCTCTCACCTTTTTTCGCGAAATGCGCCGACGACAAGGCACGTACCGTTTTCTCCCCGCCGTTGACCTGGACAGTGGAAGGTACGAAGCACGGCAATGTAATCTCTACCTAAGGTAGGTACGCAGTAAGCTCTTGCCGTTTGCTACGAATACAGATACGTACTGCGATACACCACCGGCACCACAACCCTGAGCATCCGGGAGAAAGACGACGACAACCAAAAAAGAAAGAAGCCAACAACTCCTTATCCTCACCTCACTAGTCCATAAGGTGTGTTGGAAGACTGCACAAGCCATTCCCAACTCCAAAATCCTTCGGCATCAAAAGGTTGGGACACACTCCAACGACGCCTTTGGCTAAAGTGCCTCGCGAGGAATGCACCCATGCAAGACATGTTCCGCTACGCAGTGACACACACGCGTGATGCGGATGTCATTGACGAGAAGAGTCAACTCAGTCGAGTCTCCGACCTGCGGCAAAGTCTGCAAGACAAGCACGAAGATGGCCGAGACTGCACGACACCAAGACATTCAAATGCCAGCACTGGCAGTGCCGCAGTGACAGCGCCAATTCGAACAAAGGAACCGCCATTCGACCTACGCTACGCCTCCTCGCGTGCTGTGCGTGTCTCGCGCCTCTTCTTCCGCTTGTCTTTCCCCGAATCTTAACGAATACCTTAATACACTATCTAGTTGCCTAGGTACTTTACCGATACCGATGCCTTTCTTTTCATCCGACTCTCCAACCCGGCGGTTAGCATGTCTATGACTAACACGGCACACATTGGGGGACGAATTTCACCTCTCCGGTCCCAATCATTCAACAATTTTCAGGTGGCCGATACAAACACAAAGGACCAGCGGCCCAACCCGAACGGAGCCTGATCCGTCTTCAGGCAGTTGGCATGTCTTCGTCATTGCCCGTTGCCGTTGTTAGTGTCACTGTTCGGTGGCAACGGCATGGACTCCGATCCAGACTCTAGCTACCTTACAGGCTTCCCTGACGTTAGGCCTTTCCCTGGTCCGATGTCTCCCTAGCTCCCGGGGCTGTCGCCAATTTTCACGGCGGTCCTCGATCCTCGTTCACTGAGCCCAACTCCCGCCGTGCCGCCCTATCAACAAACATGCGTTTCCACAACCGACCGATCTTCTCCACCTGCATCAATGATCATGGTGCTACACACAATTACACAGTACCCTTTCGGTCATCCATTGCGTGTGTTGGACAATCTATACAGTACGGAGTACGGGCAGATATTTTAGCGGTGGCCGGCGCCGGCAGCGGCGACTACCTACTTATTCGCGGCGTAGCGACCGAGGAGCCAGCTGCGTAGTTATGACGAGACACGCTACAGCCTACAGCCACAAACAAACTGCTGGTCATGGAGAGCATGGCTTAGTCTTGTTAGAGTTGGCGTGGAGAGATCATCGACCATCCGGCAGATGAGAATCTAGATTTCTTGACGTCTTCCTTCCAGGGCTGTTGCGCCCGCAAACCTGACGTTTCCTCAGATCACCCTGCTGCACACAAAGAACGCGCGCATGGAGGTGGCTCATCCCGTCTGTCTTTGACAAGGTCCGACACCGACGGGCGGAAACAAAACCTTGATAATACCACGAACAGACGACTATGAGCAGCGAACTTAGGTCCTCTTTTTCGGCATTGAATGAAATTCAGCATCTGGAACTGGCTTCTCCAGTCACCTCTGAATGACTGCAGAGTCAGCTCCACAACCAGAAGTCATGCACACGCAAGTGTCCTTCTCCTGGCTCACTGTGCGACATGGTCATTGGATGCCGGACGCCCTATGTCGCGCTCATTTGTCGCCTGGTTTCGGAGCAGCATCTCTCCTGCCTCTGCATGCTTCCTTCTTGGACGCCACGAACGAGACCCTAATGCGACAACCGCATCATCCTGGAATTGACTTGGACGACAGAGAAAGCCATTACCCGGCAGTCAATCTAGTCGTAATAGCAGTCTGATCTTGTACTCAATGTACATATCGAACTTTTCTTGGCGGAGATGTCGGGCCATCAAGGAGCATTCGGTGGCAGCAACTACAGCGACGGGGACGTCGCACCACATCCCCAACTGTACTAAATCATCAACATGACTGTCCAAGACGCAGTCGAGGCTTGGCATTGGCTTGACAAGACACTGATGCCGTGCAATGGCCTGATGTCCTGTAATTTCTGCTCCCAAGCTCGTGAGCCACGTTTCATTGGACACATAAACTTCACTGGGCACGTTGGCATTTGGTCGTTGGCTTCGACCGTGGAATGAGCAATATGAGGCACAGACGTTGTCAGTCGAAGGGATACTCACCTCAGCAAGCATCCTTCGCCATTGGTGCTTTAAACTGTTCAGCCCTTTAACGCCGGCGAGCATCGCTCGATAGTCCCGGGTCAACAACTGATAACTCGCAACATGGCGTCTGGCGATCAGGACAATGAGTACGATTTCCTCCGTTGGCATGGATGAGGGGACTAGCTCACTTCGCACACCAGATGAGCCAGCCACTCAGAGTCGAGGAAACTACCAATCGATCGATCAGGGGCGGCCGCTCGCACCAAGCCAAAATGAAGCAGGATAGACCCTGGCTCAGCCATCGACGAACGACTCGACTTTTGCTTCGTCGCCGGTATTGCCGCTGTCGTTGATTTCATTGAGTTTGCTCGACTTCGTTGCCTTTAATCCTTGGAAGAAGTGCTCCTCTATTGCAACCCGACTTGCAAGGACTCCCGGACCCAGCCCTCGGAAGACTCCAGATCAAGCACGATCGTCAACTCGGCGGCCTTGGAACTACCCTCATCCATGCAGCAAGCGATTCTAGCATCACGGTTCCATCGCCAAAGTTGGAGCGGGAGATGTGTGGAGTCGCTGATGGAGCCTCCATCACCGTCAACTGTCTCGGGTGGAGACGCGGCGCGGACGATGATTCCCAACCATCCAAGTTCCTTCACTTGTCCTAGGCCACGGCTATTCTGCTGGTTTCGTCGAGGCTTACTGGTCTCCACCTACCGCGCAGCTTGCATCATTGTCTTCATCCGCAATTTCAAGGACGAAACCAACTGTGCACAATGCTTTAAGAGTGAACGTGGAGGCGGGGCCAGAAGCTGGATGAATCTTGAACACTCAAAGACGAACCGCGGAATATGACGAGTTCACAGCAAGTCACCAGGTTCTCCTTAGCTCCCCTTCAGAGTCGGAAAAGCGCAATATCACCCACTCGTCTGTGATGCCACTACTGGAAGATCTCTCAATGCCAGAGATTCTACGAGGGCGTTATTTGTCACAACCATCGCATTTGAACGGCCGACTAAGTCACACGACAAAATCACTCCTCCTTTCAAATTGTGACGGTCCAGTTGCCCACCATCCAGACAATGGCCTGAATAACAGAGGTGATGAGAGTGCAGGAACCGCAAGCCTGGGTCGTCGACGGCATTAGCTTGATCAATAATACCACTGGAGTTGCCGTGCGATTGGACAATGCGTTGGCAATCAACAAAAGCCGCCGAGCCAGCTCTGCTTCTTACGAGAAGCGATCGGACTTGAGGTCAACTCGTTCCGTGAGGTTACCCGATCCGGATTAGTACCGCTAGCCGGCTGGCAATGTCAGTCTCGGGAAGAGACGGCACCAAGGAAAGCCACATACGGCTGGCATAGTGGTACGTTGACTTCTCGTCTGTGGTCTGCGCATTGTCTTTCCGGAACCAACGCTCGTAGAGATCGAAGATGCCACGGCGCACCGGACCATGATCCCCCACAACCAGCCCGATGCCCATCAATCTCACTTGTGCACTTGTGAGCCGGTCGTTGTCGAGACTCGAGACCGGATCGGCCTTATTCAATGCAAACCTCCGTCCATCGCATGCTCACAGTCAAGTGTGAATTTCTCCGAGACCTCTTGCTCTCCCTGTCTAGTGCCTCTGGGATTTGTACTTCTGCTCGAATGTATCGACGATCACGGACTATCCCTGGTCAACTCGGACACAGCGCCGCAGTAGTGAGGCCCACTACGCCGAGAAAGATTTCCACGAGTTGACGGCGTTGGATTCACGAATGATGCTTGAAATGCAAAACGTGGAACAATTATCAATCAACTTGCACCACCAAGTTGCCGTATGGTTTTTTGTGCCTCTAGCCCGGCACTTTGGGCAGATATTCGCAGTGAAGTCGGAGCATACACTGTCCAACTCTTATTTTCAATATCAGCCATTGAGGCACGCGGATCTCGTCTCTGACTGAGATTTCCACGATCCCAGGCCAGAGAATCGTTCCACGACATTCGCGCGTTGCTGACAGGCCAGATGTTCTAGGCTCAAGTGCCCTGCTCGTCTTACCCCAACCTAACAAAACAACGGTAACCACGCCGCTGGGTGGGTGTACGAATACTCTGTACTCGGAGAACTGGATCATGTATGAAAATCACCACTCGTCAAGCCCAGCCATGGGTTAGCCTCCAATAGATGACTCCACTGCCGGTCGGTGAAAGAAGCATTGGCTCAGTTCAGCAATATGTGAGGTAAGGAATGGATGCATCGTGGGCCTCGAAGAATCTGGGCCGTCACGAACTCGGAACCACTGACCGAAAAAGGACATAAGGGTCCAAGTTCCAGAACGGTCCGCGATGTGGTTCTTCCTCTCTGCCAGGCAGAGCCTGTCAGAGTGGAATGAGATGGTACCTTCGGTGCTGTGTCTCCATAGAAGGTTCGCGAGACCCACTGAAACAAGTGAAGCTCACGATACTTCTACTTCCGCACGCCTCCAGGGACGGCTGGGTGGTCTCACCGGTGAGCCTGCCCTCCCTGCAACGAACCCAAAAGAAACGCCGACGTGGCAGGAGAGCAGGGGCTTGGGACCAATCATCAAACAAGTCTGAGGGGCCGAAAAATCTCACGATGGCTTCGCTTTGGCGTTTCCTTCCGATGCCCGGGGACAACCCCTCCTTGGCCACGGGGTGCAAACCTACTCCAAATAGCCCGGTCCAGACTAGGGCGGCCAGCCGCGAACTGCGGAGAAGAGGCCCAGAGGGAGGCAAGGCCGCAAGGGCATGGGCTGCGATTGTCGGCGGCTTGTCCGTCAAGAAACCCCCCAATCGCTGGGCTGGTCCAGCTTTGCACAGGGTCCCTGACTCCGTTGACAAACGCGGGCATCTGCTGCTTGCGGCGTAGCTTGCAGCGAGACGAACTACGGATACATGTCGCAGGCCCAAAGTGCATCTGCATCACCATCCATTTAATTACCCGACTGCTCATCAGGTTGCAGATAAGAGCTACGGACAACAACAACAAGTCCCAAAGAAGAGAGGCTGGGGAAAGACGGGATTGGTGTACTGTTGTGTTGTTCGACTAGGTATGAAGCAGCTGCGCAATCAGCTGCCCAAGCACGAGTCCGTCGTCGTCAACCTCACCCGAGCAGCCCGAGTCTGAGTCGTGGCTTGTCTGTCTCGCACACAGACCAATGTCGGTCTCTGCTGTCCAGGGTAATTTGGTATTGGGGGTTTTTATTTTATTTTATTTTCTTCGTCCCGCCCTAAGCGACAGTGCCATTGATGCGCGGCCACCAGAATGGAACGCGCGCACGTCGAGGAGCAACACCATGCATCATTCTATCTGCAAGTCGACGGGAGCTAAGAAATCCAGACCAACACAAGTCGTCGTCCACGATCCATCCCAGCACGCCCAGCTCGCGTTCACACGCGACTAGAAGCGAGTATGGTGGACATGCCTTCTTGGTTCCCCTTCTCTTGATAGAACTCGTCCCATGGAACGTCAATCGCATAGGATCCAAGGACGGCCGTTGGTGGGTTGTGTCGATCACCTCGATGCATGCTCATCAGGTAGCCTCCCCAAACGGCATGACGTTTCGGCGACAACGCTCACTTCTCTGTTAGTAATTCGACTCCCTTCACGAGTTTTGGATGATTGGCATGACGCCACGAAATAGTCATTCTGTGAGCTAAATAGAAATCCTTCTGTGTCGCATTCCCTGACCACTCGGTTACCCCAACTATACCGGTTGTCCTTCATCCCAACAGGGCACCTAGCAGAATATGACTGCTCATATCCGAAGGCTCTCTTGACCTCCGCCGTTTCAAAGAACACCGGCTGGCATCTCTCTGCGTGCGGCGTTGCAGTCAATGGCACTATTTTCCGTTCCCTTTCTTCTTTTTGGACTTGGGTTTCTTGCTCATCGCCCCCTGCTCGCTGCTCGCAGCCATCACACCTCGAGCGTGGTGGAACCTGGGGTTTAGCATGGTCCTCGTCATATCTCTAAATGCCTCCCCCTCCCCCCCCCCCGTACCCCGTACCGTCCGCCATTGTGCTTGCTGCCAGGCTGGCTCCCTTCTCGCCACTAGAGCCAGCGGCATACGCGCCTCCCGTCCGCACACTCTACGAACTGTGTGCACTGGCTTGCTTGGAGAAAAAGTGTCAAAATATCAGACGTCTGGGGAAAAGTGTGGTAGGCCGGAAGCCGCTCGACTAAAGTAGCGGCGGCAGCTGTGGGATCTTCCTCTTCCCCAGACAGCTGAACAGGGAAATACCTCTATTACCCGATCTCTTTTCTCGTTATGGCATCATTATTGCTCGCTGGCTGACGGGCTAGCTTTACCACATGGCGAAAGGCATCCCACCATGTCTAGACCATCAAACACGTACTGTCCAGCAATACCAGCTGTTCCCACCTTCCTCACCCTCGACAAACAAGAGGACCGATCTCTTCCTTCGGACCAAGGCTCCGTTGGCAGGGACTTGACTCGGTATTACGATCGCGCCGAAGGCAGAGGTCGCTGGCAGTTCTTTGGGGAGGGAAAGTCCATGAAGGATTGATGCCAGACACATGAGGTTGTTGTCGTCCGTCGTGCACAGCTCCAGCACCATCCCCGCTGCCCTGCCTGCCCCCGGGTGCCCAGCAAAAAAGCAACATGTGAATCTGGGGTACGGAAAGGGGGTGGTGGTGGTGGCGGGAGGAGTCGCTGTCTGAGGACCAAAAATGCGGGATGTGCGGAGGGCCGTACGGTCGCGATTATTCGTCGAGACGGCATTCCGGACAAGTGCGAGGGAATCACACCGATTTGGCGCTGACCTAAGATGTGATTGAATTTCCCTCCCAACCGACTCCATCTTTGCTCATTCTCGGTGTTAATTTTCTATCGGCATTCAAGATCTGGGCAAGGGGACAAGTTGATTGGCTTTTCACACCGGGCGACCACTTTTTTCATCACCCACCAGGGCCACCCTCCCGGGCCGGTGTGCAATCTTGGTGCTCGTCGACAGTTCGACAGTCAACCACATGCGGTGACTTACATGATGGGCTACGGATACATACCTCGAGGCGAGAGGCCTAGCCCCGTGCAAGCCGTGCTAGCATACGGCTCCCTAATCCTCCGCAGTCTGGCCTGCCTTTGCCTGCCCACACATCCATTCGTTGGACCCGATGCAACCCGCATCTCCGGGTTCTCCAAATTGTCTCGGTTTCGCAGGTTTGGATTGGTTTGTCTAGCACATCACTTATCGCAGGTGGCCAGGACGAGAACAGGAATACTGCAATACCGGTGCGTAAAGGAAAACAAGAAGGCAACGGCGTCGACGGTGATCGGCGGAAATCAGGGTCATGGTTTCTCGTTAGGGTGACGTGCGCTGGGGGGGAAAGGCCCGGTTTGCTAAACTGATGTGCAGTGCACATCAGTATTGGGATGAGGGGAAGAGGGTCGTGATCTCTGGACAGAAGGTTAGATCCAACGCCTAGCTCGCAGCCGATCCAACTCCTTTTCACCCTCGCATCGCATGCGCGGTCGCGGCGTAGCAACATACCTAGATGCTAGGCATTTTTCTGCTCTGCTTTTTTCCAAGTTTTCTGTGACAATTCGGTGAATCCCTTCCCAAGGAGATTTGATCAAATGGCTGCGTAGGTTGGATGGGTGGTTGCGTGGTTTACAGGCTCAGAGCCGCCCGGTGGATGGGTGGGTGTGGGCGACGGCGGTTCTCCATGCTTTTTGCTGCACGTCATCCCATTTTCGCCGATGGTCTGGTCTGGTCTGGGGTTCTTGGGGTTCTGGTTGAACTGCCTGGACCAAAGAGGTGGGTGCAGTGCTGATCTGGATTGAATGGCAGACAATTTTTGACATCGATCTGATCGACAGAGAGAGGTACGTTTTGTCCTCTTTTCATGTTTCTAACGGACTAGATGGCCGAGACATGGAGATTACTTCAGCTGGTGTGCATCAAACGATGGAGATGACTTTTTCTCCTTGGTCCTGTGTGTTCTTAGACCCTGCATGTCCTTCCTCCCTTTCGGAGCGGATTTAATCGTGGTGGATCATGGTTGAGAAGATGGAGGGGATGATGGAATGTTCAGATTGTCACTGCAGAAATTCCAGAGCTGGTGTGGTTGTGTCCTACCCGTCCCCCATTCCTACTTCCCCTCTGCCCTCTAGTCCAAGTTACACAAGAAAGGGAAGTAGGACGAGCGAAACTGATTTCTGAAAAACAAAGTGATGAAAAGGAGAATATGACGATGATGAAAAGGGACGAGACGAGGCTGGAGCCTGGAGGAGGAAACATGTGTATACACAGAGTATAGGTATACATGTGATGGTGTGACGGACACGGGAGCCACCTTCACCATTTCGGTCACACAGTGAGACCGCGAGCGACCGAGACATCCGCAGCGACAAGCACTGTTCAGTCATTCTTTTGGCCGGAGGATGGAGAGAGACACAGTCACATGTCGAAACAAACACCCGCCCCATATTCGCTTCTTTTCCTTATCTCTGTACTGCGTACTAGCTGACTGATGCCCATTTGACGTACTTGCGCAACAAACGTCTACGCAGCCATGGCAGTGCCACAAAAGATGGGCGATAACGAAAGAGAGCCCGAGTGAGTGGTTGACGTACGCCGACCCCGAGTCTAGTCGTCGCAGTCCTGCAGCCACACCTTTTTTTTTCTTGTTCCATCTACGCTACGTTTGCTCAACCTCATGCCACAAGACGTACCGTAGATTGGTCTTCCCCGCCATGTCAAGTTGATCTTGCCAGACCTTTTTGGGGTCGCATGAAGTTGGTGGCTCACTAGGTAAGGTAGATAGGTAGGTAGGTACGTTCCAATCTCTAATCTGTCTCTCTTTCGTTTGTTTCCTTTGTGTGTTTTCGGTGGCCTCTGAAGGCCGGGCCGCCGGGTTGGTGGTGACACTTACATCAGCGTGTGACGAAACGTTCCCTCACCCTTTTGATTCATGGTGCGTGTGTGCTACCTTGGGGTAGCTAGATCCGGATCGGAGGGGGGGCGTCACACAAGGAATTCCAGGTTTTGGAGAGGATGGATACATGTGAGGGAGGTGGCTTATTTCAGGGTCTTGTTCTTCAGTCATGACAGATAACGTAGGGTATGTCATCGCGTGTGGCTGGTCGTCCTCTTGGAGAACGAACACGAAAACCTTTTCCTACTTTGCTCTATGTGACTGTGAGCTTTAGGTGTGGCGAATGAGACCTATGTGTACGGAACCCTGAAGTTTTTGGACTGCCAACCCTCTTTTTGGGGTGGGAGGCGTGACTTGATTGGAGATGTCTCATTCACCAGCCCCCTCTTCCCCCCCTGACTTCCCGCCTCGTGAGCCCCTTCTTGTCGCCGGTTTATAAACTCGTGATGCTTGATAAGGACCCTGGGAGGAAAGTGTAGTGAATATCGGGAATGGGGGTGGGTGTTGATGAGGGTTGGGATTGTGGCACTGTGGTACTATGGCACACCCACTGAGTCGTTGCGTTTTCCCTTCTTTCTTCAAGTTGTTTTTGTAACACCGTCGGAAACCGCTTCGGTAGTGAGGCGGGAAGAACGTGAATAAGGTGATGCTGATGTCTCACTTGAAGGCTACTTCGTGTATGGTTTCTGGTTATCTTTGTCTCATTGGGGGTCTACATTCGAGAAGTGGAGGGTCTTTTTTGGGATGTGAACTCTTGAAGTCTTTAAGATTTGAGACCCGCCTCTGACTTTATTGGCCGTTGACGAGTATCTGGAAAAGGAGAAGAGTTGGGGGTGAGAATCTTGATTGTTGTCTCATTACTTTGCTGTCGATCACATTTGATATTGATGCGGTAACAGAGGATGAGAGCTGATGTCGTAAGTAGTGGGATTATTGATGAGACGTTGCAGATGGGAGAGGTGCTGAATACAGAATCAACGGTCCATGATTGGAATGTTTGATGTGTCTCATGGTTGGCTTAAAGTTATTGGGGGACGTCGTCGATGTGATTCTTCGCAATGTATCGATGATATGCGGAAGGGAAAATAGGTGCTTCGTCTCTTCCCTCTCCCTCCTCTCAGTCTTGTTTACAGGCTCTCATCTTGGGCCCAAGGTTGACGATATCACCACAAGCTCTATCGAACATTCATTCAATTAACTCTTGTTACTTCGTAAATAGCCCAAACATAGTGTCATCCATAAGCGAGGTATTGTCAGCCATCAACTCCTGCCAAACGTCGGGCCACCCAGTGGTATCAGCCACTTCAAGTGTCTCAAAATCGTATGTCGAGTCAGTCAAATCTACTGGAAACTTTAAGTCACCTATCTCGAGCAGTAATAACTTGCTAGGTAGAATAGACCAACTCACCCGTAGGCTGTTGATCGTTGGAGTTGCTCGACTCATCCAGACCGATATGTCGGGATGCCTCCTTCATCTGCTGCATCAAAGACTTGAGCACCTTGAAAGGCTTTCGCAATCCTCGGCCAAACTTTCTTTGATACTCGGACAGAATCATCCAGAAAAACTTGATGCAGCTAATGTAGTGTTCTTGATCTTGATGAGCATGCTGAAGTATGACCAACACAGCGCTATACGCAGCATAAAGCAGCCCGTAATGCGCATGCCTGAGCGTGAAGCACGTGTTGTAGGATTCCAACAGACGCCAAATCTTGAATGCGGCGTCGATGCACCTCCGACGTCCATCATCTCTAGAGACAGGCTCGATGGAAAAGTTGAAGTGACCTCGGTTCAAGAACGCCTGCTCAAGCAAGATGACCAAGGTCCAGTATGAAACTCTGGCATTGTTTTGTTAATCAAATTTGAGCAACATCAAGAAGGAGAGGGTTCAACTGACTGCAGTGAAACCAGATTGGGCGGAGGAGTGTCATCTTTGCCTGGCTCGAATAGGAGGTGAGTTGGTAGACTTTCCATCCATTGACTGAGGCTCTCCCTCATATGAGACCGAAAGCGTAGTAGATCCGGCATCGGCGTCTGAGAACTTCTGACGGAATAAAAGTGTTGTATAATCTCTTCTGCTATTGTAGCAAGCTGCAGCATGCCTTGGAAGCAGCTGATTGCATAGGCCGGACGTCCCTTGTAGCTCACTGTCGGGCTGATACTCGCACTGCCAGGATTCCACTGCTCCATTTCCTCGTACGAGTCAAGAAGCTCTTTGGAAATGTTGGCGTCCTTTAAGAGAAGGCCCGGAGGACGGCCTGAGTAGAGTGACTGGAATTTGTCGCTTAGGTAGGCGCCCCAGTAGATTCTCCGTCTCGTCTCCATCTCTGTGACGGACACTCCATTCTTTGAGTCAGAGTCAATACCGCTCGGAATGTCTAGATGGGAGCCTAGATCAACCATCATTCTGTACGCCATGCCACAGTACACCCACCTGGCGCTCTATTTGCCGTACGGAACTAGACAAACCCCACATACGACGAGTGCCACCACAGTAGGCATAGTCGGATTGTCGATATGTTGAGGGAGCAGCTCCTTGAAGCGATCGTAGAAGCCCATACCGGTTGTCGAAGGATCTTCGGGACATGTGCGTACAATGCTGAGGTCAGTGAATAGACTACTCTGTAGAAAGATCGCGTTCAGCAGTGGTTTGTTGACATAGGGTCCGTTGTTGAAAATGCTATCCATGATTGCGGGACGATATGTCCAGAGATATGTGTAGTGTAGTCGGTTCCAGTGCGGTTCCAGCAGATGCATCGCAATATCCGCAGAGGCACCGTCAAAGTCCGCGTTAGCTAAGACGCTCGGCGTGGAGTAGAAGACGGCTTCTCTTTGATACGACGTGGCAGCCTGTGCTATGAGTCGATCCTGCGCGACTCTCTTCAAGAAGACATTGATCTCGTTTTTGCTTGACGTTGGACTCTTCCAGAAATGACCGCTGGCATCATCATGAAGAAGACTGGTGGCACCATACACGGTCGTGTTGCCCTCAAGGGAAGGGCACTCGTGTAGCTGAGGCAAGGGAAAATCGGCGTTTGTCGGATGCCGGCTAGACGGAGATCTCGAAGAACGTACATCCCCGAGCTGTGCAGGAACAGAAGAAGTGGACGAGTTTGGAGACACGAATCTCACGGGTCTGTCAGGAGCAAAAATGCAATTGTTTCCTAAGAACTCACCGATACCAGTTGAAGGACTACCCACGTCAGTCGGATTTTGGACGATGAAGGAAACCATGTATCTAACCTTCTCTCGGAAACTTGCGGCTTCAGCTGTTCAATCTGGCTTTGTAGTGATTGAATTTCTGACTCCTTTGACCGGACGGCGGCCTTTCGACCATCTTCTGGATACTCGCACCGATGACTTCTCATACGGCAGCCACTGCATTCAGGGCGTTGGCCATCACATTTTACCTACAAAATTGTGATTGTTTGGTTGCAAGAAGGATTCACCGCCCGCCTGTTACGATATTTCCAACGTACTTTTCTTGATCGGCAGACTTTGCAAGTCCTACAGATGACAAGCTGCTGAGCAATCTTCGCCGGCATCGTTGTGAACCGTCAATGCGAGCCATTGAAGAATGAAAATCCGGACTATTTAGTCATTGATCGGGTCAGGGTCTGGGCGTGGCCAAGTGCCATTTAATATACGTAAGTACAAGCGTGTTAATCCAAGCCACATGTGGCGCCCGCGCAAATTGGAGGCTTCTTGTCGTGTCCAACTTCACTCATTGCAACCATCTCACCAGGGTATATTCAAAACACACCTGCTCTGCCATCGAATTTCAAGTCATCCTGGTACTTCGATTCTTCTGAGAGACATCTCACTCCTGATGGCATCTTTGAACCACGAATCTCAAGATCACAAGCCGACCAGTTCTCGTCCCAGCAAATAGAAACCATACTGGAGGCAATAACCTTTATTTAGGTAGTCTAGAGAGGTAGCGGAACGTGCAAGAGGGGTTTCACATCCAACCTGACTGATGATACGGTATTCAAGGTTCTCCCACCAGGCAGTGGCTGAGAGTGGCGAGCCTAGATCAGTGGATGTTAATGTCTGGGACGACGCTTGACTGAAGTTTTCATAAGGAGTTTAGTGATCAAGTAGGCGTGCTGTTGAGGTGATGAATTTGGAGAAAAATGCGTGACAAGACCGATTGCTCACTCCGTTTGAATATGATATCGTCAGCGTTTGTGCCTCCATGGCGGCACCTGAGGATGCTGAACTCGGAGCAACACAGCTCCGTATGGGATGAATCGACGGTTCACTCGCTGTTTATAAGTTCATTTCATTGCATGAAATCCCGCACTCAATTCGGCCTTTGCCTTGTCTGTCTGATACCTCGAGTCGAGACTCTTCGGACATCTCACATACGAATGTCCGTGTTCATTAATAGTGAAATTGGACTAGCGCTACCCATGGCCCACTTTCGGACATCAATGTCCGAAGCGCCACCGGGTATCCCAAGAGACTTTGCTCCATGGTACCCAGTGGACTTTGAGGTGACAGAGTGGCATTGGTATAGATAAGGGAAACTCACTCTTTTCACTGATTTACGTTGGGTAATCGTACATGTACAATGTGCTCCGATGCTTGCAGTGCTGCCGATTGTAAAACTACTGTAAGTCTTACGTCTGAATGCTTCTCTATGTCTAAGGTAATTGTGGAATCCTGTTTCGTCTCTTCGACTTCAAGGCTTGCGTAACTTGAAAGAGAAGGATACCTTTCCAGTAATGACTCCGGCTGTGTTTACGCGTTCAATGTGGTGAAACGCCTCCATGCCGGCACGGCTTTCCGCAGAACCGATGCCAAGTTGTTCCAAAATCTCCATCACTACTGCGTACAAAATCTCCTCGTTTCCATTTTCACCCTTGACGGAGATTCCCAGACCCGAGTTAGCCCCCAGATGCCGCGTCTCTTCGGAGTCTCGGATGGCAACACCATAGCATCCATTGGCACCCAGCTTTCCAACGAGATTACCACCGTGCTTGAGCATCAATTCAGTGCAGAATCTAGCATCCCCAGCAACCATTCCAGGGAATCGCCACATGGAATGGTAAATCCTAGCCAAGTGCCTCGTTCTGAGGTCCGTTGTAGGACCCTGAGCCTCAGCGTCTGCAGCGTGGGCGAGGAGAGCATAAAGGTAACTAATGTCACGGAGAGGAGGGCGGGAGCTGGCAGATTGCACCCGTCTATGCCCCATTTGATCTCGTCGGCCCCCAGGCCGGTCAACTCCTCAAAGGCATGTCTGACACGAATTTGGACTTGGTGATCCGGCAAGTGATACTCTTCATCTTGTCCAAGTGCTTTGGCCCCCGCGAGCATGCCCATATGCTTCGCAGAGCAATTGTTGCAGAGAGCACCAGGCGTAAAACCTCTCCTGATCCATTCGTTGTTGACGCTCTCGGACATTGATGGGTGGCCTCCACACCGCAAGTCTTGCTCTTTGGCCGCAATCTTGGCCAGCATCGTGACCCCTGACTGGACGTGACGCTCCTCGCTACTATGTGAAGAGCACATGAGAGCAATTTCCATGTCGTCGAAAGCAAATTGCTCAAATCCTTCTATCTCGAGAAGGGCGAGAATCTGAGCTGGGTTGGCCGCTGATCGGGCGAGTGTCAGGCGTGATGGGTCGCCAACGGCGTACAAGAGACTGCCACAAGCATCTGTGACTGCAGCGTGAATTCGATGGACATTCTCGATGATACCTCCACGATCGGAGAAAACACAATCCTCTAGAACTGCAAATTGAGACATCTTTATTGGATGTCAGAGCTACCAGGGGCAGAACGTTGGCGAGAATGAAATAAGAGGGCAGATGAGAAGTTGGTGTTTTGATTTGTTCTGCTCGTTATTGGCAGGAGAACAATTCCGGAACGCCACGCGGCCGGCAAGCTTCATATCATCACTTCCAGGACCAAAATGGTTCAGTCTTGTAAAGATTGAAATCTTCACTTGCACGTGAATCTTGCAGAGCCATCCATCATGAATGGAAGCCGTGGCGGGGTGACTCACGTTTATCGTCGGACATAATGTCCGAACCGGAGAGGGGCACTAGATGCACGCTTCGACATTTTGGCCAGCTCGAGTAATCCATTTAATTACGTTATGTCACTATAACCCAGTAAAATACTACTGAAAGGGCGTGAAACATTCGCCTATTCCGTGGCAAATCTTTGAGGGCGATCGTGTCGTAGGTAGCGGCAGATGCTGGCCCAAGCCAAGTGATATCAGTTTCTCCGCGGAGAGCTTTCGATGGAATGACCAGATCTGAACAACACATCCAATGGGATGACGGGCATTACGTTTTGGTCAAGTCAAACTTGAGGATCTGGCCGATATCAGGGTGGAACCTTCCTCGGCGACCCTCGGATTCTACAATCCAGGTGGCATCAAAGAAACTCTATGCAAATTCACGCCGGAGAAAAAGTGTGACTACTCAACTTTCACTTGAAAACGAACCACGCGTTTCATTTTGAGGCCGCCCATTTTCATAGAGAGTATTTAATGATTGAGGGAGCGCTTACGATCTCTTAAGCACCTTGACTGGGATGACACACTTTCAACACCTTTAAGAAGCACTCGTATTATCCTATATCATGTTTATCCCAGCACCACACGCGGAAACTCGTATCAGCGCCTTGCGCCAACTGATCCGAGACTACCCCCTCGGTGTTCTCACTACTGCCATTCCATCAGGTGCCCACCCTCTCATCCTTGCTAGCCACATCCCCTTTGTCTTGGATGTTGATGACGAAACGAGTGATGAGGAACTCGGCCGATTGAGGGGCCACCTAGCCCGCCAAAATCCACAGAGCAAGGCAATGATCGAGGCTGTTCAATCTACCGGTACTGAATCAACAACACTCGACCAGGAGGTTCTCGTGCTGTTCACGGCCGCACCTCACCATTACGTTACACCCAAGTTCTACACGGAGACGAAGCCTACGACTGCCAAGGTTGTTCCCACTTGGAACTATGCCGCTGTCCAGGCTTACGGTCGAGCAACTATTTACTTCGATAGCAAGTCAAAATCTGCATCTGACTTCCTGTCGAAGCAGATTGATGACTTATCCAGGCACACTGAGACGTCTATCATGGATTACACCGGGAAGGGAGACAGACCTGGCCCTTGGAAGGTTGCGGACGCCCCTGAGCGCTACATTGAATTGATGAAAAAGAACATCATCGGTATCGAGATCAGCATCGACCGTTTGGAGGGGAAGTTCAAGATGAGTCAGGAAATGCGAAAGGGTGACAGAGAAGGGGTGATTCGTGGCTTCCAGAGCCTGGGCTCTGACGGCGGTCAAACCATTGCTGCCTTGGTCCAGGAACGAAGCGACATGAAGGAGTTGGCAAAGACAACGTGAGCGCTTTACAAGGAAACAAAATGGGAAGACTGGTAAAAAATTGTTTTGTTGCAGAAGTTTTTTTGTTAGGCCGTGGTCCGAACTTGCCAGAACCTCGGAGATAGAAGCCAGATGTGCACATCTAGAGAACCAGCAAAAAGGTCTGAACATGACTTAAGGGTTTCTGTAGAGTGCCTTGATAGAGGAGGTGTCTCGCACGAGACCTTTGCAATGATCTAGAGATGAATAAAAGTGATGAGAGATGCTGTTAATTACGGCTTGCTAGGCACGATAAGTTGCTGCAGGCTCGTCGTCTTAGATGTAGTATCATACACTGTTCTGCCTACCCTGCTTCACAACTTTTTTATCATACAGGAATGTGTTTTGTTACGGATCCATACTTGCGATTGGTTTACTTTCCATTTGCCAGCACAGAGTTCAACCACTCTCCCACGGTCGACGCTTTGCTGTTGTCTAAGCCCTCCGCGCGGAGACGCTCTTCCCAGTCTGCGACCTCCCAGATCTGGGTGTTGATCATGGAGTCCGAGAGCTTGGTCAATCCTTGACTAGAGGACGGCCCGGACAGAGAGAAGCTTTGGATGAGGCCGTGGCGGGCTTCAAATGTGAGGTTGAACTAAACGGGGTCAGCTGGCTGTGCTGGGTAGATTGGCTACATGTCTGAGCATTGAAGGGGTCAAGGGGAGTTGAATGGAACGAAACAGCGAAAGACTACAAAAATGAAGATGTTGACTCACGTTGCCTGGAAGCTGAGGACGTTCCCGCGTGTCTTCTTCAGAGGGGTGTGTAGAGAAGGTGAATAGAGGGGTCTGGCCGTACGTCCATTCCCGAGACTGTTTTTTGCCCGTTAGTTTCTGACCATCACTATCGCCAAACGAGGAGAAAAGAAATGCCAGCTTACCCGTAATTCCCTGAGTCCCTTCTTAACCTTATCCTCTCCGAGCGCATCCTTCTCGCCCAGTTCTGCCCGGACAGTGAAGTCACCGTACATCTTTCCAAATTCACCAATCACCGCATCCTCGAACGTCGATGTGTCGGTGATGCCCACGTTGCGGATGCGTGAGCGCACGCTCTCGACGCCGCGAGCCTTGATGAAGGGCTCCGCGGGAGACCGCAGGAAGCTGCCGATGCGCGGCAGGTTCGGGGACGAGAGTAGACACGTTCCGTGGTGCAGGGAGCGGAGACGGGTGAGCTTGTACGCCGAGCCGGAGATCTTGAACGTGTTTTCCGCGTTCACCTTTGGCTTGCTGCATGATGCCGCTTCTGCGGAGGCGGTGGTATCCGGTGCTTTGTCGGAGGTTCCTGAAGAGGAAGGCGGAGGGGGAAGAGTCATGACAATGTCGTGGCGGCAGTTGACGGCGGCGCCCTCGACACCGAGGGAGCGGAGGGCGCGGACAACCATCTCTGCATGGGTGTCGCGGTCAAAGTTTGCGGGCGGGCAGATGACGGAGTAGTTCACATTGCCCTCATCGTGGAAAACCGTTCCGCCTCCGCTACGGCGGCGGACGAGGTCGATGGCATCAGACTGGGGTAGGGACTTGAGGAGGGGAAGGTTGACCTCAAGCCACGGGTTCTGGTTGCGGCCGATGACGATGCTGGGGCGGTTTGTGTATAGAAAGAGGACAGTCGAGTCAGACGGGGTCGTTTGGAGGAGGTGATGCTCGATGGAGAGGTTCACGTAGGGGTCGCGCGAGTTTGAGGTGTAGACTTGGGTCTTTGAGGTTGGTGAGGCAGCGAGGGCGGAGAAGAGGCGGTTGTGGCGGTGAGTCTGGTGTATTGAGGGTCTGATGCGGAACAGAGTTCCCGGAATGCTGCGTAGTGGCAGCATTGTGATGTTTTGCGATGTATACTGAATGAGACGGGTTCCGATGCTACTTTCAGGTTGACATTTTCACAAGCCCCTGTGAAAAGTCCTGTGAGTTTAGACTGTGATCCGAACGATAAGAGGGTGTTTAGTGATGACTCGAGAACAATTAAATGAATATGAGTCAATTCAATGAGTTTATGAGTAAGAGACGTTACGTTAAGGATGCATATACTGCCGTCTAATGGCGGAATGACTGAGTGAGCAACGCGTTGAGATGAGGTTCTCAGTAAATTGCATCTAACAGAGTCCACTTTCTGATTAGGCCACCCACCCCTGTATGAACAAGACCCACCCGATTAACGGGGCAATTCAACTACATCATAGAAAACCCCTCCACCCCGCAGACGGCCGATTTCTTTCTGTGGTTGACTCACCGAACATCGGCCCAGATAATTTTCCAAACTTACATACCGCCCTCCCCTCCTCTCGTTTTCCACACTGCAACTTTACCCCCTTATAGCGGTAGCAAAAATGTCAACGTTCGGCAATTACTTCAAGGTCACGACGTGCGTCGCCTCTTCCGACCCAATTCCTTCTGTTCGTCTCTCGTGGCCAATTGTGGACTAACATAAGATGCCCCTCTGCGCAGCTACGGCGAGTCCCACGGCAAGTCCGTCGGCGTCATTGTCGATGGCGTCCCGCCCGGCATGGCTCTGACAGAGTCCGATATCCAGCCTCAGCTGAACCGCCGTCGCCCCGGCCAGAGCTCAATTACGACGCCTAGAAACGAGAAGGACCGCGTCGTCATCCAGAGCGGTACCGAGTTCGGTGTCACCCTCGGCACCCCGATTGGCATGCTCGTCCAGAACGAGGACCAACGTCCCAAGGACTACGGCAACTCTACGATGGACATGTTCCCCCGCCCGTCCCACGCCGATTGGACCTACCTCGAGAAATACGGCGTTAAGGCCTCCTCCGGTGGTGGCCGCTCCTCAGCCCGCGAGACAATTGCCCGCGTCGCCGCCGGCGCCCTTGCCGAGAAGTACCTCCGCGAAGCCTATGGTACCGAGATCACCGCCTTCACCACGAGTGTCGGCAACTGCCACCTCTTCCCCCCGACCCCCGAGCACCCGAGCCCCTCGACGAACCCTGCCTTCCTCTCGCTCCTGAACACCGTCGACCGCAAGACCGTCGATCAGTTCCTCCCCGTCCGCTGCCCGCACGAGGAGACCAACGAGAAGATGATTGACCTCATCAGCGATTACAAGGCGCGCGACGACAGCATTGGCGGAACCGTCACCTGCGTCATCCGCAACCCGCCCTCGGCGCTCGGCGAGCCCTGCTTCGACAAGCTCGAGGCCTCGCTTGCACACGCTATGCTCAGCATCCCCGCCACAAAGGGCTTTGAGATCGGCTCCGGCTTTGGCGGCTGCGAGATCCCGGGCTCCCAGCACAATGACGCCTTCATCAAGGCGCCCGAGTCGGAGCTCCAGGCCGACGCCCAGCGCATGGGTATCCCCCGGTCTAAGTTGACCACCAAGACCAACTACTCTGGCGGTATCCAGGGTGGTATCTCCAACGGCGCGCCCATCTACTTCCGCATCGCCTTCAAGCCCCCCGCGACCATTGGCGTAGACCAGACGACGGCGACCTACGACGGTTCAGAGGAAGGCGTGCTGGCCGCCAAGGGCCGTCACGACCCTTGCGTCGTCCCCCGTGCCATCCCTATCGTTGAGGGTATGGCGGCGATCGTCCTCCTGGACGCGCTCATGGCGCAGCACGCAAGACAGATGACGAAGAGCCTGCTGCCTCCCATTAAGAGGGAGAATGGTAAGGCGTAAGCTGGTTGGAAACTGGGATGTGTTGTAAATAACGGGCATTAAAAGCAAATTCATGATGAGATTCCCCTTTTTCGGTTTGTCAGCGAACAGTCTTCTTTTTCTGTGCATTTATTTTACGAAGTGAAGTGAATAAGTGACTCATCTCACAACTCTTCCGACGCCTGTTGCTGCTTGGCCGCCCTCACCAGGTGGAACTCTTCCTGTCGGCCGTAGACCCATTGCCATCCCTCTTCCTCGCCAGCCCAGTACACATCCTCCTCCAGGGCAAACCAGAGGGTCGTGTTTCTTGAAGGTACATAATGCTCAACGAGGAGTTCCACGCTGAACCACATGCTGCGGATAGCAGCCAGCTCGCCAGCCGCCGAAACGTACTCTTGCATGTTGGTCATTCCTATGCAAAGTCAGCATCGTACCAGATCAATGGTTTTGCAATGGAAGCGTCTCGTCTTCTTACCGATAAGAGGACCAGCAGAATGCCCCCAGTCCCCGATAGGGTGCGAGTAGACCCGTCCCTCGATACCCTCGGCGTGCATCTCTCCTAGCGACGCCTTAAGCATCTCATTGCCCGTCTTGCCAACAGCAATGTTCCGCCTCACGATATCCTGAAGCTTGTTACCCTTCTTCAAGCCGTCCCTCAGATCTTGAGGCACATCGGTCTCGTCAGGGCGAAGCACGTATCCGAGATGCTGTGTATCCGTGTTCAGCCCCATGGCAGTCAACCCAAAATCAACATGAAGCATGTCCCCATACTGAATGATCCTCCCTCCCGCACCCTCGTCAATAGTCGTCTCCAGCCTCATAGTCCAAGGCAGCGCCTCATCGACAACGCTCACGCTCGGCTGAAACCACGTCGAGAAGTTGTGCGCCAGAATCTCCTCCCGGAACCACCACTCCAGATCCCCCGTCGTCGTCTTCCCCGGCACGACGACCGCCTCGCTGAAACCCTTGGCAATCATTGCCCACGCCGTCTCCATGATCTCCCTGTACCGCGGCATCTTGGAAGCGGGCTGGGCCGAGATGAACTCGACGGCGATCTCGGGCTTGACGACCATGCGCGAGGTCCACTCGCCGCCGAGCCCGGAGGCCATGGCCTGGTACTCGCCCGCGTGCAGGCCGCTGGCGAAGGCGATTTCCGGGTGCGCGTTGACGGCGATGGTGGCTGGGCCCGCGGCCTCGAGCTGGGATTTGAGCGTAGCCCAAACGTCTGCGGTCCAGCCTATGATGCACCCGGGTTGCTGTGGTAGGATGGTGCTATCAGAGGAGTTGGTGGAGGCGGGGGGTTCGGCGAGGAAGAGGCACGTTGTGCGGCGGCGGGCGGAGAAGGTTGATGCCGGTTTGAGAGACCAGAAGACTGTCTCTTCGGCGTACTCGCGTTGGCTTATCTGTAGCTTGTGTCATTTTCGTTGTCTTGCGGTATGGAGTATGAGTGGGCGAGGGCGAACCAGCCAGGCGTCGACGCCGTGTTTCTTGAGGAGAGCGGGGATGCCCGCCTTGCGCTCGTCGGTCCAGGCATCCTGGGTGCGGGCTTGCTCGCGGAGAGGCGGGAGAGGATTATATTTTGGCATTGGATCGCTGGCCGCCTGTTGCCAGAAGATTGCGGCGGCCGGGAGTAGTGGTATGAGCCAATGCATTGCGGATCTGCGGATTTGTTGATCTCATAAAAAAGGGTGAGTTGAGGATGAGTGAGGTTGAAGGGAGGAGTGATGAGGTCAAAGATAGGATGGAGGATGTGAGATCGGATGACGTTCCGGCTACCCCGTTTCAAGAATGCAAGCTCTGAAGTTGAATTACTTCAGCGCAATGCGTTACGTCGTCTAGTCCCGGAAAGGCAGCTCGATAATCGCAACCTTGGATCTCACGCTGCATGGATGCTGATCCCCGCCCTCGGTGAGTGTGTTCACCGAGATCGGGCACTACATCGCGCGAGTGAAGGTAGAGGTTACCGTAACCGAACCCCCAAATTAATTCCATCCGTCCTGGGATTTGAGCACAATATTTCATTTTATTGCCAAACGTGAACAGCATAGTAGAAGCGCAAAATCGTGCGTTTTGATAGGGGTTTGCTCCAGGGCTCTCGTGAAAGCCCGGAAAGCCCGTGAAGCCCGTGAAGCCCGTGGGAATTGAGATGTGTTCTATCTAGTTCTATATAGAGGGGTATTGTTATTGTACATGAAGTTTGCCAGAGTAAAATCATAAGGCTTCATAACGCTGTTGTACCTAAATTCGTACATTAAAATTGTGGATGCGGCAAAGTATGCCTATCGAAGTAAACAAGAACTGGAGAAGTGAAGATTCGACGCCAAACTCAGACGCTCTAGTGAAACACGTGTCAGCCGTTTACATGATGAACGAAGGCTGAGAAGGCTACACTTACAACGATATGCCCATGTTTGAGATTAGGTAAGTTTGATGCCTCATTATGCCTCAAAGCTTCGATTGAGCTTAAGGAGATGCCCTGCAGTCGTAGTCGCAGTCTCTTTGCGAGATAGAGATGATCGGATACTGGCGCGATTGTGTGTGTCCCAACGTTTCGCGGTCTCTGACCTGTTCACACTGCGCCAGCAATAGCCAAGCTGGCGAGAGTGAAGACAATGTAAACCAAACCGTTCTGGGAGAGGTTGGATGCCCCAGAGTCATTGTCACTGGCTGTGGACTGGGGGCCACCTCCAGTCTGTGTGGGTGACGGGCTCGGGTCGTCGACATGGAGAGCATTCGTGCTGCCTGTCCACGCATTCCAGTTGGTCAAGCCGCTGGGGCATTCGTTTGCAATCTTGCGCCCATCGATCTTGGCGATCTCGGTCCCGTACTTGGTCATGGTGATGACCACGTCGCCGGTGCCCAGAAAGGGGATGCTTCCATGGTACACGCCCTTGCCGCTGTCAGGGGTCGAGGTCCAGTTGCCCTTCTGCGCCTTGCCTCCAACGGAGACGGTTACCTCTGCCGCGGATGTGAGGAGGGCCGAGTAGAAGATCTTGTCACGGACAACCTGGGCTGCTGTCAAAGTCTTTTGGTCATGTGCGACGGCGTTGGCTGTGGTGCCGCCGTCCTTGCAGGAGAGGGCAGGTGAGCCGCGGTACCATGTCATGAGGGCTTCGTCCTTGATCGAAGGGGCCACGGCGGCTTTGTAGCTGTCAATGAGGTAGGGGAGGAAGTGGCGCCAGCCGTCGTGAGGATGGTCAAGGGCGTAGTTGAATGGGGCTCCACCAACTTCGAAAGCCTCCATGGCGTTGGTGCGGACCGGACCGATGTGGTGTGATTCGCCGTAATCGTTCCAGGAGATGATTTGAACGAAGCTGTCAACTGTCAGTCACTTAAGCGGCAAGAAAGGAGAACAGTGTCCCTGAAAGGTTGACTTACGCAGGCATCACATCCATCACTTGGTTCCAGCGATCGTACCAGAGATCATCGCCGCGCCACACCCAGTTCTTGTTGTAGCCAGGCAGGTTGGTATAAAACCAAGGGGAGACGGGCATCATGTAGGGCTTGCCCTTCAAGGCCCAAGCATACGCAGCGTCACTCTTGTCAGTCATGTCCTTATCACCAACCGGCCAAGCGTTCCAGCTGAACAGTCCATCAGCAACGCCGTCTCCTAGCGCCAGTGCGTCCTCGGGGGATACGGAGGACCAGTCGGGGATGAAGAAGGCGCCTGTATTGTTCTTGATCTCGATCCAATCCTCGGCGTTCTCTGTGCCCTCAAAGGTCGAGGCGAGGGGCTTGTCAGCATACTTGAAGTACTCGTCGAGCTTGAAGTACTTTTCTGCCATGTACAGAATAGTCTCTTTGGGCCAGGGCTTGCCCCCATGGTAGCCGCCGTTGTAGTCAAAGGAGAAGAAGAGCTGGAATCCAACATTCTTGGCGGCGACGAAGGCAGTCTCGAGGGACGAGTTGGTATTGGGGTCCGTCAGGCCCATGTTGAGGGCAAAGGCGTCAATGTGGGCGTCCTTGGCGATCTTAAAGTCATCTTCGAATTCGCTGAGAGTGTAGTTCTTGGTGTTGATGAGCTGGCGAAGTGATGTTAGCAGCTGAGACATGGGAGGATGGAGTCAAAGACCTGGCAGGGATGACAGGATCAGAGGCGAACATACCATGAAGTGAGCAAAGACGGACGCCGCTTGTACTTGTGTGGCCGCGGCCAGGAGGCCGGCGAGACAGGTGGTGAACTTCATCTTCAAAGCGAGCAAGAGCTTCCTCGACACGTAGATCAAGTCGTCGATATCAGTTTTGATCGACACGGAAATCAGAGTTTACAGGTCTTGCAGCAGAGCCACAATACCACATGGGAGAGACCAAAGGCCACGGCCACTGCATTATGTATCGTGGCCTCCTTCACTTAAAAAGGGGGCCATGTCAAGTATGGCTCGCATATCTACCCATCATGTCGGTTTCTGCCTTGCGAACCGACCAGGGCGACCACGGTACCGCCCCTCTGGCGCTGTACGCCATTGTCCATGATGACCCCCTGGCATGGCGACAACCTGACTCCATCGCGAGATAGGCAGGTAGGCCAACGGTAGGCGGTACATGCGGCTGGAACTACACGGCCTCAAACTCCCACCGTCAAACAGACAAGCAAGGGGGCCTGTTCGTCTCGGACAGGGTTACGAAGGGCGCTTGCCTGATAGGGCTACATGAAAAGAGCAGGGGGTGAGTGCTTTGTGAGACGCCGTTGGATGTGTCTTTGAACAAATGGGCTGTGTGGATATTGGTCTCCAATGTCTAGAGTGGTTTCTCTATCTGCTGTGCCATTTTGTGCCTCTTGTGCCTGCTGTGCCGCTGGACAACGGCGCGAAAAGATGCAGCGGGCCAAGCCTGATGATTTGGATGAGGCCGCTTTTGCCGTGGGAAATTGCCTCGCCCGGCTCTGCTTACTCTGCATCAAGAGTGCGATGAGTCCGAAGCGTTCTTGCTGGCGGTGAGGGAAATAGCTTTCACGCGGCGTTTGATGCGAGGACGTGAGTAAGAAGGTGGCTGTAAGAGCTCGTGTACGTTCGTGAACTTGGCGCGATATGTCATCCAAAGTGAAGCCCATCTTCTATTCCTTGCGTTAATCGGATACGAACTCGGGAGGGATCGACGGCAAAACACGACCTGGGAAACATTTCTGGAGACTTGGTGTAGTAGATCTGCTCAGCGGTACGGTGTTTCGGGACCCTCTGGGCCTCTTGTCCTCCTCTTCCGAACACCCATCTTTCCAACTTGGCTTTTTCCCTGAACCCTGTCAGGTTGCTCGCCCGATATCTTAAGCTTGTTGAGCCCGCCTAGGACCCTTTAAGACCAATCATCCGGAGAGTGCCGCGCAGCCGGACGTCATGCCGGATCCTACACTAGCGGCTTTCCGCTCACCCATCGAGACTCTCACGATCCCTGTCGTCTGACGGCCTACACGTGCGGAATCGGCCGAGCGGCCCCTGTCCGTCACATCAAACCTGCTCGCCGACTGAGTGAGTAGACATCCTAGCAACGGTCTGCCTAACCCAACCTGCAGCTGTGCCTCTAGATTTAAGCTCAAATAAGCAAATGCTACGGTTGTTTAGAGGAAAGGTTCCGCTATTGCCCAGGTGATTCTAAAGAACCGTGCATCGTCGGATATCTGACGTTCAGGGCAAGGGTCCATATCGGCAGCAAGGGTTCCGTGATGGATACACGTATCTGCCCACTATTCCCAGGCAGCACCGGGCAATATTGAGGTCTGTGAGTCTTTAAAACCCATGTTGTAGAGAGGGCCGCTGTTGCTTAGCCATCTGTTGCAAAGCTTGGCTCTAGTCCACCTTCGTGTCGTCCGTGGCGCCTCGTAGTCGCAGCCAACCACACCGTTGAGAACCGATCGAAACATCTAAAGAGTAAGGGACGTGCATACTCGAGAGGGAACCAGCCTTGTGGGGGGCTTCCTTCGACGTTGAAAACGAGAAGATGTACGGATACCGGAGCCGGCAACGTCATCGGCAGTGGGTTAGTCGACAGTAAGTGTATCGGAATCCCGCCAAATCGCATACACGGAGGGCTGTTCAGTGGCTCTCATGGCAGCTGTCAGGCTATTTCAGATCAGCAAAGACGGATAACCGGCGGCTTGGATACGGTTTGCACTGGGCTGACGAGACTAAAACCCCATCTGGGCGTCGCGCTGGTCTCAGACAACGTGCGCTGTCGCCGGCCAATCGTCCGGACTCCCTCCGAGCTGCTTGTGACAGGGGTTTCGTGCTGAGCATGTCGCACTTCGCACTTTGAACCAACCACACCAACAGACAGAGGGGGGCAGAAAATCATACCAACACTGGCATGAATGGATTCTCATGACGCAGGGCTATCAGCAAGATATCCGACCGCCTCGGTTATTCATTACCCCGGAGGCAATCACAGACGCCAAGGGAGGAAAAGGACAAGCGACTGCATGGGTCTATGGGTACCACAAGAGACGATTAAGTGAAGAAAAAAGAGGCCAAAAGAGCAAAGCAAAGAGGGGAAAAAAAAGACCATGTTCCAACAGCATGATCGAGAACCTTAAGCCACCCTGGTCCCTGTCCCCTGTCCGAATCCACTGTTCTAGACCCTTTGAGGTCGAGTTGCAGCGAGTTGCAGCGAGGTGCAGTGACTTCAGAGCCACCGATTCGGCCCGCTCTCTTACGTCTCTAACCAGAAAGCGAAAGTCATTCACCAGTCAATTCCCAGCCGCTCCTGTTGGTGCCTGTTGGAGCAAACGCGCAAAAAGGCGGAGTATCGGCTTGCAGATCCGGGTATCCTCACGTTATCACTGCAACGGACATAGTTTTATCCATGGTGCGCCTCAGTCCTTACAACAGACGACTTGTAGAGCCGTGATTTCTGCGCCCTTGGCCTCACTCTGGAAGCATCTCGGAAAGTATGTCATTAAGTGGATCGATTGGATTGTTGATGTTCCAACTGCATTGAGTATTTCCATCACTGACTTAGCTAGTACGACATCGTGATATGATTGTAGTTCCTAGCTATGATCTTTCAGCTCGACAATAGAAAACGTCGGCAACTCATCAAAATCTTGTTCCTTCATATTCCAGTCGTATTTTCTGAATTGACGCCCTAGACTATCTGGTCTTTGGATTAGAAGTTGGTACCATTATAACCAGTTCCATCGCCACGGCCACTTCCCGCACGGTTAGTGGTGACATCTGGTTGGGGGATCACCTCATCGGCGTATCGTGGAAGGTCCGACGGGTTGCTGGGAATGGTCACTTCGTTCGTAACGACACTAACCAAGAGATTGTTGAGGTTGCTCCTGGCCTGAAGATCACCATTGGCCAATGTAACACGCCAATGGAGGTGCTTCTGCAAGTAGGGGGTGACATGCTGCGGCGTAAGACTATCGATTAGGCCAGCAACATAACGCTCGACGAGAGCGAGAGTGAGAGGGACTTGGCCGGTGATTCTCTGTCCTGAAGCACGGCCCTGTTGACAGTTTTTGCACGAGGTAGTCTCGTCTTGGCCGAACGTAGCAAAGGCACCGACGTGAGAGTGGTTGGTCACATACAACAAGGGAACCGTGTCGTCGGGGTTGCCCAGGAACACGTGGACGACGTAGTTGCCTCCGAGTTCGGCCTTTTCGGCCTTGATGTTGACAAGCCATTCAAGGTACTTGTTGTCGGTACCAATCAAGCTCTTCAGGTCGCGATCCTCTGGAAGACTCAAATCCCCGGGCTCATTGGTCTCTCGGAGTGGCTTTTGCTCATCTTGTTCCGTAGCCAGCGAGAAGGTTGAGGCCGAGACTGGAGAGTTTTCGGCCTTCAGATGTGCCTTGGCACGACTCTTGATCTCCTCGGTAGAGGTTTTGAAATCTTCCTCGCCACTCCTCAAGATATTGGCAAAAGAGGCAGTCTTCCCATACACCCGGTCCAGCTCGTTGAGGATGGACTCCTTGGTAGGAAATTTCCAGGACTGAGTCTCCGGGTAGACGTATCCAAACTCAGTGGTGTATCTGACACCCTCGGACGTCCAGAAGACTTGATTGTCCTTCGTACCGGACTGCGCAAATGGCGCCAGCGGGGTTTTGATAGTCTCCGGGTCACCGGCTTTAACGATGAAGTTACCCCAGCTCTCGCCCGCACGTTGGTCAGTCACATAGGTCGATGGGTCGTTAGGGTTGTCGTGGCAAGCTTGCCAGATAGCAAAGAGCCGGTCGACGTTGGTGTGATGGAGCCAGAAGATAGGGTCAAACGCGGCAATTGCTGGGTTTCCCATGTGCCCACTGCCTCCAGAGTAGGTGTGGATAGCATTATGAATATCTTCAATACTACCCCATTCGGCAAAGTTAGGCTGACCCGGTTGCTTCGGAGGGTTGAACCGGTTGTGGGACGCAGACCCAAAGTCACGATACGACTGAAGGATAAAGATGACACGCTCCGTCAGATTCTTGCCTCTTGAAGCCTGTTGAGGGTCAGTTCCAGAAAAGAACTGTGTCAGTCTCTGAATCATCCTGTTGTTGGGCTGGTCAGGGTAGCGAATGGTGCCTCCGACCCTCGGGAACTAAGAGCGCCGATCAGCATTACGCAGACATAAAGATGGGCTAAAGATAAAAGTACCTGATTGATGCTCGTATTCGTGCGCGACTCTCGGAATTTGTAGGTTGCCAGTGGGTTTGGATCGATACGAGAATCCTTCTGGTTATTATGGGGACGCTTGACTTGGACCCTAGCTTGGGATGTAGCCTCTGCTGGAAAGACTCCAAGGTCAGGTCGAGCCCAGTCCCAGTATGGCATTCTGAAGTCTTTGGCCGCCTTCACATAGTCGTTTCGACGTTCATTCTCGTCAAAGTCGTTGGCGACAGCGTTGACATGCTTGTACAGCTCGGCCTGAGCCATGTCAGAAAAATGTCGATCTGACGTTAGGTAGAGCTTACCTCGAAGAGAGCAAGATATGGGCGGTGCCAGGTGAGAAAGAGAATCGAGCTATGGGTACAAAATCCCCCGAAATCATTGTCGACTCTAATCATCTTGTTGTTCCAGGCCCTGTCTGGCCACTTCTTGTACGGGAGTCCATGGATACCTGCTGGTGTCAGAACCTTACAATCCTCTTCTCATACATTATAGTTCCCAGTGCGTTAATCTAATCGAACAGCAACGTCGCAAAATGATAAAAAGCGACACGATGATCAGTAAGAGAGGAATGCTATAGCTGATTTTGCCAAAAAAAAGAGATAACTCCCCGACGGGGTCAAGGAATACTTCTCCAGTGACAGGCGGATATCCTCACCATTAGACTATCGGGGGTAGATAGATATTGACACGATTAAAAAAAATTGTACTTGCCAGCAATCTCAAAGAAGGAGAGAGGCGAGTCTTCCTTCACCGAGTTTTGGAACCTCTCCAAGCCTAAGAGATACAAATTCCACTGATCAGGGTGATCCTTGATCATGTCGCGCACTTCCATGCGCACAGGAGGTTTGGCTTCCAGGCGTGAGCTATGTATTGTAAAGGGGGACTTTGCCAGTTGACAGGAAAACACACCTGGATTGTCTGCCTTGATGCCGCGGACAAGCACGGGTCCCTGAGTTCCATCTGAAGACATGTTGAGAGTGAGTGAATCTGACGATTGGTGCTTTTAGGTATGAGAATATAAAGCAACCCCGGAGTTAATGGCTAGCAGATACTTAGAATATGGCTTATATATGTTTGCCGGCAAGTCCTACATGCTTCTATGTACACAAGATTGCGACACCTTTGCCAAGTTTCAGGCAGAACTGCTGCCTGTAAAATTTTCTTCGAATTCGTAATCGTGGCGCATATCACCATAAGATATCTCTTGTTCGGGAAAGAAGTCGGAATGACAGAGTAAGCACGGGGCGCTCAGCCAGCCATGGCGTCTCAGCTGCTTTCAGTCTTGCGGCAAAGAGCCAATGACAGATTCCCTGGATTACTCACCGAGATGACGGGCAGATACGATAGGCTACTTTCTAAAACATCCAGCCACCGTAGTTCCTGGGCAACAGCTTACCTCGGGCTCACTTTAGGTGATGAATTGTTTGTCAGGTTGTTCCTACTGATGTCTAGGCCAAGACTGAGTGGGTGTAAGCGAAGGCTGCATGTATATTAGAGAACAAGCAAGAGGTCATCGTCTGTGGCTTGAAACTTGTGAACGACAGCAATCACAACATGACTTGGATGATATCCAAGTTTATCTTCAAGCCCATTTTCGTCCCTTTTTCTTCGTCACGTCAAGATTTTGAGGAACCCTGTCATGCGGAAGTGGGTGTGCGAATAAGTATGAAATATGCTCAAAGCTATTCTGGAAGTTAAATTTTCTACTCGCATGGTTTGTACCGTTGTGTTGCGAAGTCATAACTTAGGACTTAGTCGGCTCAGATGACCCTATAGTACTAAATAGATAGGAAGTTTCTGATATCCGCATATCAGGCGAATGAAACAAGAGAAAGATAATACAGGCGCGGGATCAAGAAAAAGAGAGAGAGAGAGAGAGAGACAGAGAGAGACAGAGAGAGAGAGCGAGTTGGTCCACCTAATTACTTCCCCATGCAGCTGCCAGCATTGGGGTCGGAACTATAAGACACTTGTCAGCGAGAATCCTTCTTGGATTACTGTGAAGACAGGGGGCCGAGGACAAACTTACGCGTATTCCCAATTCCAATAGGATGTCTTGCCTCCTCTATAACAATTATAGGCCTCCTTCGACAGCCCAGACATGCATTCGGCTTGTCCTAGAACTCGTTTGCCGCTGTTCAAGTTCTATCAATATATGTTAGAACACCTCCCTTGGAATGATGAGTAGAAAGCGAGATCTAGACTGCAAGACATCGCTGTGTAACCTACCTTGATGGAAAAGTCCCACTTCAAGCCATCCGCCTCCTGCATGCAGAATGTTCGGCTCTCCTCGCCAACAAAAGCCTCTTTAGCTACACCGGCTATTGCCATGCAGGCAAGAGAAAGGCGGTCCGCACCCACGGCTGTAACCTTCTGCTTGAGCCAGCTGCCATAGTGGCCGATCATGCCATTGGGGAAACAATCGGCATTGACCTCGGATCCGGCAATCGCCATAACGGCAAGGAAAGCAGTGGGCTTCATATTGTTGAGAGTGAAGTTATTGGGTCAAAAATGAGGGGCTTTTCTCGATGAGATGAGTGGATGAGAGACACATTGACAAAGAGAGGTGGGAAATGACATAGGATAAGGACTTATATAGATACGTGTACTCGGACTGATTCGAGATAAGACGGTCCAGGGATAGTACTTTTCCAGCTATTCTTGGTTTCTGTGGGATGACTCCGCCATCCGAGAGCGACTATCCCCAAACATCAGAGAAACTAGAAGATGCAGATGAGTTTGCCGCCTCGATCTCGTGGTGCGTGCGGAATTGGCCAAGGCCGATGTCTGTGTTGCCGTACCCAAAGCGGGATATACTTTTGCTGTCTGATAGTCAATCAACTGTGAAGTAAAACCAACGAAACAAATTTGACGCTGAACATCTCCTGGCTCCAAGGGTCTTTGCTATGATGATTGTCGATCTGGTGATAAGCTGGACTGGCAAACATATAATTACGAAGCCCACAGCAAACTATCCTCACCTAATTGAAGACATAGTCTTGACTAAAGCAAACAACAAAGTATTGAATTTTCTTTGTTCACATGTTTCATGGCTTACACGCATGAGCCTGTCGTTCTGCCAGTACTGGTTACGAGTTTTCTTCTCAACTTTTTGCCTCGGCTGCTCGACAGATTGCATTCCATATTGTTTATAATGATGTTGAGTAAAGTCGCATTTGCTCCTCGCTACCTGCGACTCATCTCGGCACACGTATCGCGAGGTTATTGTCCAATCTGCACGCTGAAGCCAGTACGTGGCTCAAGAAGTCGATGGTTACTTCTTCGACTGCAAACTGGTTAAAGTAACCCTACCCGCCGTGCCACAAACTATTCCGGGATGCAGCTTTTCGCTGCATTCCTTTCACTTGGAGCTTCACTGGAAGATAAAGTTTGTGTCACTACATGTGTAACATGACAATCTCAGTGAGGCAAAGACATCGGATGAACAGATCAACACCGGAATTTGCCTGATGCTTTCAACCTAAGACGACATGATGCATATACGCGCAAACAAAGCTGTTTGGGTGTTGACTTCATATCTCACGGCCCTAATTTGTCGTCTGGAAATGCAGTTTTCGGGTGTGTCAACTCCTCGAACGGGAAGAGAATCCGATTCTCAAGGTCAAAAGAACTAGACATTCAAGGACAGGCGTGCGATGGCGCAAATCTGGGGACTGAACACACAGATTGGGAGCTTGAGGAGCCGGTGTCGGTTCGGTCATACCTCGGAAGCTTACCGACTGAAGCATCTCTACATGGGGTGAGGTTATCGAAGCTACGACATCAGCCGTGAAACCTCAACTATATAATAAACCCTAGTTCCCACGAACCTTGAGGTAGTGGCACAACAGAACTACACCATCATCTACCTCATTTCCAACATTGCCTGTATCACCCGACTTCTTCGAGAGAGTACGAGATGCAGTTCTTCAAGATCTTCATTTGCAATGTCTTATGCCTCTACCTGGCACTAGCGGGCGTCATCGACGACGGTAGTACCCGGAGTATCACCAGTGATACCGAGGACCGGGAACTGAAGAGAACCGTTCCTGAACCAGCCGTTACCAAACCAAACAGCGACGAAATGCTGCTGCTCGACTCAATTAACGCCGGAAGGGCCACTTTCGAAAAACTGCTTGTCGAAAGCGGCGAAAGGCAAGAAAGCATCTCAAATTCGCCACGCGATGTTGAATCACAGTAAGTACATCAAGTGACTAAGATAGGCTATTAAGAACTCCAGTCGAACCTTGTTTTCTTAGTACAAATTACTGACTCGCTCTTTTCCTTGGGCTCACTAGAACTACGGACGTCGAGATCCGTGAAGCCACCCTCAACCTCACCGGAAGGGCAAATCTTGCAGCCATGAGTGACTCATTCGCGTACTGCGTGAGTAACTCCATTCTCTTGAAGTGTCAAAAGCACCACATCAGCTATAGCACTTTTCATTGTAATCTGCTCGCCTCTGTCCTCGAGAGAAGTTTTCCATGCATCATGACATGATGTTTCCTCTGACTGACACCACAATTCACAGGTCGCCTGCGTGTGGGCGTGGAAAGCCGCCACCGACAGCATGAATCTAGGCCAAGCAAAACAGTTCCACAAGTAAGCCAAGTTCAACATATATCTACCTTGGACTACATATGGCAATATAGAGCTGACGCAGTTTCAGATGTTTCTGGTTGGAATGTTTTGCTGGATCACATGCCTGTGCGTCGCATCTGATGGAATGGGCTCGAATAATTGGTGGCGGGCCGGATGACTTCCCAACCGACGCGCAGTTCACACAGGCTTGGCAACAGCTTTGGCGTCCAATGTACGAGCCCCTCAATCAGAAGGTGATCGAAGAAGAATAGTAATTCGTACCAGTCACATTCTCAACAGGGCGTCTGTTTGGCTAAGTGAGATCTGTAATGTCACGATGCAGAGAACTGTTGAAGTAGCTCTTGCGATACTTGATGGAAGTTGACGACCCGGTGCGATATGTGATAGGATTGGGAGACACGGAGATCCTTAGCCTTTGAATTTTTCGTTCATACAAGGTTCAGAGCCATGATAGTTCGGTTCCTTGGGAAGAGTAGTAGCAATTGATCCCCGTCCCAATTTGGCATATCTACCGGCCTCGAGGGCCATGATGGCAGTTGCTTCACCTTGGATGTTAGATGATAGGTAACATACCTTACCTTACTGTAGAGATGACCCCATAAGGATACTAAGCTATATCACTACAGTATTCGAAGATGCAGGACCTAGAGTAATGGTAAGGTACGGGCGCTCGAATTGAGATTCAAGACGGACTGAATGAATTTATTTCGAGACTTTTGAAGCCGTCTAAGGCTGCAAAAGAAACGGGACTTTTATTGCTATTTATTCCTTTTCTTGTTCATCTACTATATAAATAGTAAGCCCGTATAAGTACCTTATGTCTATGCAGAGTGGGTGCAGTTACTTAACCGAGGTACCGACGGTGATACAATCCATATTGGAAAACACGAACGCTGTGGAGGCGAAATATACGGGTTGTCACGCTGTAAGATCAGAGAGAAGAGGTCTTCAACATAACCACATATTGTCCCAGCGGGTCTGAACTTCCAATAAGTTCTTTTACCCCAGCCCAATGTTCAGTTTATTCGCTGGATTGGAGGACATTGCCAGAACAACTCAAAGTTGCGCCTTGGATGCGGACCTAACGAGGTGGTCTCAAACAGGATGTGAGGGTTGGCTGTCAGATCTCCAGGTGAGGAGCGATGGTAGTCATCTGTTAGAAGTACGCCGTAGACAAGGGACTGATGCTCCTGAGATTGTCGACGTGCTCAGATCCGCGCCCCGCTCGTCGATGTCGTCAGCTGCCGCCGGGAGCGGACCGGCGGGCGGCGGGCGGCATGTGCGAGTCGCTAGCTGAGACTTTTGATGACGACGCTCGTCTTCTTTGCCACAAGAGGAGAGAGACGTTGTGCTGACCTTTGGAATACTCACTACTTACTCCACGGGACATCGTGGTTGAGTCGACGTTGTCAAGAAATGGTGTAAGCCTATCATCAAGGCTAATTCATTATGCCGACGCACTGATAAGCATGACTTCGGAAGGGGGCGTTTGTAGGCTCATGGGAATGTAGCTTACCGCTTAGGAGCGAAAAAAAGGGCGTCGATCGGGAAGAATATTGCTTGCAGGGCGAGAGGACACTAATGAAGGGGACCAAGGGAGACATCGGTAGGTAGACAGCAAGTGGCGTCGAGGGCGGGACTGAAGAAAGTGAGGGAGATGTCTCGGGTTTTGCAAAGCATGGCGATGGACCACATGCGCGAGTCTGCCGTGCGACGCGCACTTATAACGGGTTGTGGGCGGTAATCGTGAGAAACACTAGTTGGGTGACGAAGCCTTGTTCAGTTGACCCTTGTCGTTGCGTAATCACAGACATTGGGTATGGATTCTGTGAAGTTCATTGCTCTGGGCTCAGGAATCGTAACGCTTGCATCCGACGCGAGGGATGATCTGGACACGGTGGACTCCGACTAATACTATCACCACCATTACCCGGGACCCCTGACGGAAGCCACGCGAGAAAAAGAACCGCAGTTGTGTGGGGTTTACCCGCTGCGGTGGGATATACGTGTTTCGAAACATTTTCTGGGGAATGCTGGGAACGTGTGTGGGTAACCTCGAAACAGAGTTCGGATGGAAAGAAAAGATCGACATTGACAGTGACCCATTCGCGCGGCGTCATGGGATAACTTGCCCCGTCCGGCGAGGGTCATCCGAGGGGGACGGGTATCACGCAATCTGCGGCTCGATTAACATTTGGGGAGTCAAGACTTGCGGCTTAAAGTCACACAAAATCATCACAGATCCATTTAACATGAGAACTGAACCAACAGAAATCGATGAAGAAATGAAGTCATGAGCAAGCCTAGGGATAAGCAATAAATGCTCAGTTGCCCTCTCTTTCCAAGACTCAAGTGTGTAAAACATGGCTTACGAATAAGTAAGTGAGGCTGGAACGAGACATATCTTCCGGGACGGACGAATACCTCTTGTCATTACGGCTGTCTTGTATCATTCAATGAGTGCACCGTCTCAAGCACTGACAGCTGTCGAATTCGACAACACCTCAGCGCTGATCCATCAGTAATTGTTTGTTAAGACATCAGGTAGTCTTTGCGAAGTAAGGACGAATTAGTCTTAATTATTACACATGAATGTGAATATCATAACAGTGACAGACTGATACCAGTCAGAGCTGGTCGTCATGTCTCCCATCAAACCGGTCATAAACATTTTTCCTTCGTAATAAATCACTCCAAACCACTAGCTCCTTGAAGTGTCGTCCGCTTCCTAAGATTCATACGTATCGGAACGGGCAAAAGGGCGATGAAGGCTACAAGCAGGGTCCCGAAGAGATTGAACGAATGAGTGATCAAGTCCATTGAATTCGTAATCGAGGGGATCTCTGCGAGATCCGAAGGAGACGGCGGCGGTGACCGTGCGTTCCTATACAAGCTCGACTGGGGCCCCCTCCCACAGCCTCATGCCTTTTCCCCTCCTCAACATTGAGCCTCGAGAACTAGACGAATGGCCTTTCTCATCCCCTCGGCCTTTCTCATCTCCTCAGCCTTTCCATCTCCACGTCGAACGAGACGTTTACAAGTCTGTCACGAGTTAGCATCTTTTTTGATCCTTTTATTAGTTAGGTTGTGTGGCAAGAACTCACCCTCGCAGTAGTCGACAGTGGTGGTGACAGTGACGGTGGGCTTGGGCGCAGTGGTGGTGACAGCGGTGATACCCCAGCAAGAGCAGGCGGAAGAGTAGGCAGCAGAGTCACCGCATGAGGAGGCGTAGGCGGGAATGAGGGTAGGAAGAGCGGTGACCTGGCGGTTGGCGATCTCGCCGTTGCGGCGGAGACGGGCGGGAGCGGCAGTGACGGTAACGGTGACGGTGCTGGATAAATAGAGTTAGTCTATAACATATCACCAAGCAAGTGTATTGATGGAGAGGTGTCGACATACGTAGGGGAAGGGGTGACGGTGGCCTGCATGAAGGAAGAGCAGTCGGCCTGGCGGGAGGTGATGGGCAGGAGGCCGTCACGGGTACCGGTGACCTGACGGTTGCAGTTGTTGCCGGCGCAGGCGCGCTTCTCGACGACGGAGCCGAGAGCCAAGCTGACGAGGGAGAAGATGACGGCAGCCTTCATTTTGACGGTTGGAGGAGACGATCGACTGAGGTCCTAAGAGATGGATGGGAGTTGATTGGATGGATCTGGTAGGAAGTCGGTGGATGAGGAAAGGGAAAAGGAGGGAGGCAAAGGAAACGGTTACATGGAGACGAAGGCACCGTGATATATATCCGTGAGATGCGGGATGGGACCTCGATTGTGTTGGTGGTGGACGGGTTCGAGTTGGACTGGGGGAACCGGGTCCCATGCTCCTCGCAGACAGGGGACTAACAGAACTGGGACGCAGATGCGAGCAAGTTTGGTACAGCAAACAGCCAGCCAGCCAGCCGGCCGGTTCAATACGAACCGCAGCAGCAGCCACAAGAGTAGCGGAGTTCACCCGCCCATTCTGAGCAGCGCCCAGAAGAGGCGGCGATAGGAAGGGCGGGTCATCGACCGGGACCTGGGATGAACCGACAGGGGTAGGAGGTTGGTTATTCCAAGAGCCACGGGCAGCAAGCATCGTGGGTTTACCAAAGAGACATATTGGGTAGCTAGGCTCCCCCGGTACAGTGACACCCTGTTCCTGAGCACTAGACAGGACCAGGGGTCGAAAGAGGGGGAGCCTGTAGGAAAACATGGAAAAGCGAGGAAGAAGCGAACCGCAGTAGCTCCAGCCCGTTCAGCCCATCTCCTGGCGAAGGTTGCAATTCCCACCTATCAGCAGGCTGGACATCCGCATGAGGCAGGTTGAGAATAAGTGTGGGCAGGCGGCGAACAGCAGGAACATGAAAAGATGCGCATCGTAGGCGTAGCGTGCAAAGTAGCGCAGCGTATCCGCAGCAAAGGTTGGCCCAGGAGGATGGGGCCGAGACTGTAAGAAAAGGTACCTCTTAGCTGACAAGCAAGGTCGAGAGTGACATTTGACCTCAAGGGCTAGTGTTGCGATGAGAAACAAAACGCGTGTGTTCTTCTTCCGCCCTCGTGGGAACCTCGAGATTGATTTTCCACGCCCCCTTGCCCACGCTATCACAGCGGGGGAAGCTGGTCTGATTCGGCCTAGCCCTAGTATTGACGTCGGGAATTCCTGGAGAGCCTATGAAAGATGCCCTGGGACGACGCCGGTTGCTTCGCCGAGAGACAAAGGGCGAGGATCACATTCTAGTTTGACTTCGCGGCCGGATAACAAGGGATGTTACCTGGGGAGGCATGTTGGGCAAACGGCTCGAATCTCGTCGACGCTATCGAAATCTGCACAACGCGCGGCTTAGCTGGTGGGCATCTATGGCCGATTTGCTATTGGTAGTAATGACACAGCGAGAGTTAGCTTGTGGCTGTTGTCTCTGCTATTCTGGTGTCGAAGAAGAATTCATGGCGTCCTCAGCTGTGTCCTGGATTTGAGGCGGTAGCGGGCGACGGAAGCACCAGGTGCGGAGGCGATTGGCAGAGAGACGCCGAGGTGTGACGGTACGAATAGATCATCCGTTCAGGCGCGAGCTTGACTTTGCTGTACGGCTACAAGGTACCATGACTGCAGGCAAACAAAGAGGAAGCCAGTCGGTGGTCGAAGCTGTTTCTCTCTTCGAGCTTCTTGGTCTGCCAGGGGAGCTGACCAGACTCCTGGGATTGCAGAAGCGATGCGCTGTTGGAGGCGGTCTTAATTACCCGTCAATATCTTACCCTAGTATCGTTTTGATAAGTGAACTGTTGGATGGCGCGGCCGGAGACGAAGCATAGATCTGGACGGCTGTGCCTCAGTTCAAGGCCGTCTCGGAACTGGCTGGAGTCTGAACAGGAAGAGTATCCGTAGAGTTTGAACGGCTGTCGGCAGGGTGCAGCATCACGACCCTCAGTAGGGTGCCAGGGTGTGTATCCGTACAGCGCGGGGAAATCCGATATGCAGAAGGGAAATGAGGAGAAGCGAAGCAAAGCAAAGCGAAGGTAAGTCTAGGTATGCAGGCAAGGTCATGGGAGTTACATGGGCTCTATACTCCGTAAGTCCAACGTCAATGACGGGACGGGGAGCGAAAGCAAAGTCAAGAGCGAAGAAAAGTCCAGCGAGAAAGAAAAAAAAGAAAAGAAAAGAAAAGGAAGAGCCCAAGTTTGGATAGGAATCGTTAGTGGGAGGGAACCCGCCAATTGGAACGCGTCGCTAAAGGGCCGCGCCGCCGACCTGCATTGGCGATGATGTTGTCGGTGATGATCCGATGCGACCCTCGGCCACCACCTCGCTCTTTCTCTCTCTTCAAACTGTACATCGGCCTCCATGGGGAACAATGTAAGCTGTGAATAAATCCATTGGCACAAAAACCTCATAACCTGCACTCTTTTAGAAGTCTTTAGACTCTTCAAGGCCTCTTGGCCTCAATCGGTAGTTGATGAAGATGGACTAAGCAACCCGAGGAACGAATGATTTAACCTCACCCGCGCGGTACAAGCTCTTCAGCTCGGAAGATTCGTTCTCGTGTACAAAGTATAATTAGGCGATTACCTAGACCTGTCAACCGCCCTGCCCATCAGCCCACGGAGTGGAGGGGGGATGTTCCCCTTCCGATAGCCGGAGATGGTCATGCAATGGGGGAAGATTGGAAAGGGCACTCCATGAAGCTTTTATGCTTATGAGCTGTGCTTGCGCACAACCCACCTCAGGGGCCCACCGCCCGCTGTCCTGTGGTCCACCGTCCAGTCGGCACAGGACAGAGCTATCGAAAGCATCAGCGTCGCAAGCCGAAACCCATGACAGCAAACACACTGTACCACCCCCGTCCGCCATGCGACGGTTGTCAAGCGTTCACCTGGGAAGAACGCCTGGCAAAGACCCAGAATAGAGGTTGGTAGCACCGTAGCTTTGCCTTGCGCTGTAACCTTGACCCCGTCTCTGTTGGCAGCCTCTGCTGACCGACCAACAGCGCAAATTACAATGTCGCCGTCAGCGTCCGCTGTTGTTGGTTATTCAACGAAACTGGCTCTGGCCTTCAGCTTATCGAAAGACACTACTCGTACGGAGACGATTGACCACAATGTCTGTGCCTAAACACACCAAGAGTGCCCGTCAACCAGGTCGGCGCCATTCCCGAGCCGGAGGCTGGTTATCAGTAACGGATACAGCATAGTCTCCCACTCTTCCCAACGGCCAAAACGGCGCCAGGAACGCGCCGCTCGATCTCATCGGCGCTGGCCGTTGGGTCAAGGTAAATTCAACTTCCCTCTCTGCCTACTATCACCGCCCAATCCTCCTCTATCATCAACAGATAGTCAGATACCAAGCTGGCACACCTCGAGTCATCGGCTGGACCCTTTCAACGATAACAACTCCGTACTCGTAGAAAGCGAGAAGCGGCGAGAGTCAAAAAAGCTAATCAACAGGGGGAATCCCCCCATACGAGCAGCCCGCTTCACCGAAAGAGGCAGCTGGAGCAACTGGGGGGCGTGCCCAGCGAGGTGGGTGGAGGTTGGCTCGTTGGTCCCGCGCCGGCTGGGGCCTTTTGCTCGACTAAGCTTCCCAATTTCCACCGTTCCCGAACTTTTCTTCCTTCTTTACTCTCTTGAGCTTTTAAGCATCATTATCTTTCCATACTTTGCAAGGAAGGCCGTTGATGTTGTTTTGATTTACCTTCCTTCTGGAGTGGCACGTGGCAACGGTGAGGAAGTCTCGTTTAGGAACTTAGCCCTTCATTTACACTCGCTTGGCCGATTACTTGAGTTCGAGTAGTTCAGGGTCGAGTATTTAGTTTCTCGTCCTCCTCTCCAGTCGCCACTCGATCTTCTCTATCCCCTGGCTCAACTCCATCAATAAGGCTAGTCCCCATCGGCGCATCATTCCCGTTTACAGCCTAAGGTCGAGCAAGAAGCCCACCCGCCCCAGCTCCGGCCCGCCGAGCTGCAAAAAAAAAAAAATCGATCATCAAAGAGAAGGAGACAAAGAGGTGGAAAAGCTAAAGCCAACTTTTCGTTCAGGGCACATGTTTACCTCCCAGTCGCAGAGCCAGGCTCTAGCAGCACGTGTAGACCATGGTAATTAACTTCCGCCAGCCCAGGAAGCGAGGTGGGCTCCTCTCGGTGAATGGAATAGTCCAGCACCTTGGCGGACAGAGGCACGTTGTTGGTATTGCGAAGCTCACTGCTCTGTTCACCGTTGGCTGTCATTACCCCTGCCTCTCCCATCCTCCAGGTTTAAATCCTCTGAAAGATACGCGTGCGTCTTGGGAGATTGCTTCAGACACCCACTCACATAGCAGGTCTCGGTTGCCTTATGCTCTCGCTTGCGCTCTTCCAGGCGTCAAGACTCTGAAGAATATTTACTTCTCAGGACGGTTTATACAGACCTTGAGACTTCTCTGCTCTCGAGCCGAGTCATGAAAATGCCTGGGGCAGCCTCGAGGTTTTAGCAGCGCCACGGTCAAGTTGCGATACTTTTCTTTCACTTGAGGTCCTAGGTCATCAACGCCCAGATACCGGTTCCAAGAGACCTGACTTTCGCTCCTGTAGTGCCATAATGTCCGCGTCTAGGTAGCTCATCCATCAACACCGACACCGGCCTCGAGTTCATCTGCCTAGCGCCAGCACATCGTTCCTTCTGGTAAACAAGCTTGCTTTACCCGGCCGTGATAGTTCTTCCAAGTTCTCCTTTTCCCCTCACCAGCTTCCCCAGGATATTTCTTCGGACATCAAATCTCCGCGAAGCAAAATCGTGCCCTCTCTTGCCATCCCCAGCTTCCTTTCCCCGCCCATCACCGCTGTTCCCCAGCCCTCGAACCACAAAGCATGCACCTCCCCCGCACCGCCTCTCCCCATTGACATGTATCTAACCGTCGTGCTATCCCCGGTGCGGACTAACGCCCCGTCTAAGCAACGTGCGTCCTTCTTCCAAGGGGGTTGATCAAGGCCGTATCTGATTGACGGAGGAGTCTGTCCCGAGGTCTAGTCTCCTTGTCGGCCTCTTGCTTCGACTCCAAATCCACAGTCCGCGGAAGAAATCATGTATATTCTCTTGTTTAACAGGGTACTGGTTGACTGGGCTCTGTTCGAGATCCCGAGGAGCCGATATGTTGTTACCCACGGGAGAGCCGCCTCCCCACAAGCCAGACTCAGAAGCGACTCTCAAGCGAGTGCGTTATTGTCCCGACGAGCAGGATGATGGGGCACCATCTCATCCGATATGATCGACAGTATGTATAGTGGGAGGGAACCATGTATCGTCAGCCAAGCCTCGCGTTCGCCTGATCCCGAGCTGTCTACTCTCTGGAACATCCCTCTCCTCTTCCGACGAACCTCCGGTCTCGCGATGATGCTACCCCGAGGGGAGAAGAAGAAAAGCTTGAGAAACTTGGACATCGGTTTTGATGACTATTTACCGTCACACTTCCTCGTACCCCGCAGATAAAGTCGGAGCCGCGGGTCGTACATATCAGTCTGGTATGGCGACTTTGTTCACTTTCTTTGGCATTGGCGCTATCAAGGTACTAGAGGCACTGGGGGCTCGCATTGACGATAGCGTAGCCCGCGGCTAACACGTCTGGGTCTTTTCGTACTCTTTGGAATTCTATCAAAAGCAAGACTGGCGACAGAGTCCATCGTTGAAGTCGAAGGAAACCAAATTCCTATTACTCGCATCGACATCGCAGATTCGTTTACTCGACACTCATCGAAGGACAGCCTTCCGTACGCGTTGAGCGGAGAGAACGTGTGAAGAGCGAGGTACCCAGAAGATTCAGTGCGGGTTCGGAAAGCAAGAAAAAAGGTATCATGTATTGTTGACTAGGCATAAACAAAACCAAATACTTTGCGCCAGAGAAAGCCTGACCTTACCGCAATTTTCCGCGGTGAGGTGCTCACCAGTCGGCACCAAGATTTCTTGCCGTAGAAACGCCATCCGCTCTCTATATCGTATTTCCTAATCCTGAGCGGTCACCAACCATCCTCCATTTCCCTCGTGCCGCGCCCACCGGGCGGACTCCCTAGATCCGACCGTCTTTGATTGAAAACCAACCACTTCTATCCCCAAGAAGTATGAGGCTCCGCCTTTGCTGGTGATTAAGATGCCTCTTTGGCAGTGCCATGGAGGTCCATTAAGTCAGCCAGAACATCACATCTCCAAAACGATCATCCCAGACCCTCTGGCTGAAAGATAAAGGGGTCAAAGAAGAGATACAAGCGCCCGCAGCCTATCAGCGTCAGAAAGCTTCGTCTGCTGCCTGGTATTCAACTCCAAATCTTGCGTTAACTCGAAAGGCATGCCGTGGCTTTCTCCGTAGCACCGGCTTTTCCAACTCCTGCGACGGCATATGATCGAGGCGAGATATAGTCACAGGAAAGTTACACACTGCGGGTACCTTTACTTTCCATTTGATGTCTGACCATTTGCTCGATCCGTCGGGCCATAATGACCAATGAGCTCTGAAGCCTCGTTCACGACACTCAGCCCAGCTGGAGCAGAGCTGTCACTCCTCGTTCTACCGTGGCCTCCCTCGCTGCTCCTACGCCGCTGGTGGACTGCAGGTGGCCGGCTCATGCCCGATAATCCGCTCCCTGACCGTCGACGCGTATCTGCCACGGCGTCCGGGACTGGTGAGGCGGCCAACTCCGGCACATATGGCGTCGAGTCGAGCTCCTGAAGCGGCGTTCGAGTACCTGCGCTGCCGTGATCACTGCTTGCTTCGCTGGCATTGCTCCAGTGGCGAAGATGCGCATAGGTTCCTTGGGAATCCGTACTTCCGCGATGTAGTCCGATCCACGCGCTCGACCCCTGGCTTGCGCGCTGACTCCTGTCTGGCGCTACATCGAAGTAGCCTCCTGTGTATGCCGAGTCGTAGCTGGCGTGTCGATCGGATCCTGAGCCTTGTGGCACTGCCTGATAGTCACCAACGGAGCCCGGAGTTCCACGATACGAGGGTGTCAAGTCGGCGGTCGTATCAGAATCATGTCTGCGGTGTGAAGGCCGAGGGGACATCATGAGCGGGTCTATGCTCAAATCATCGACCTCTGATGGTGTTGGCTTAAACTCATACATCGAGGGACGTGACTTAGCCCCTGAAGATGTTCCCTTGTTGCTCGTCTCGACTGCCTGGACAACCTTGTTGAGGTGTCGAATGATGATCCACGCAGCCACCAGCACAATGATGAGCAGGCCAACTCCTCCAGCCACGATACCCGCAATTTGTCCCGAAGTCAGTCCATCGCTGTTGCCATCGCCGCTTGAGATAGGTCGCTCTTTCGGAACAGTGCTCGGATAGTACTTAAATACAACTTGGTCCGGATCGGTCGCCCCTGTTGCTACTATCGGCGCTGTGGTAGGTCTTGAGGGTGTCAGAACAGCGGTTGCGGTTACAGTTGTGGTTATCGCCTGCGCGGCGTCGTTCGTCGTCGTGATCGTCGTTGTCTCCGTGACAGTTGAGGGTTCTGTCGAGTAGCAAGCGCTTATGGCGCAGCCCAATCCGTCTCGACAGCAGCCGTAGCTCAGACTAGCTGGGCATAAGTAGTAACTCGCCGGACATGACTGAGAGTATATGACTCCAGACGCCGGAACGCAATTTGAGCCTCTTTGACACTGGTAGCCTTCTGGGCAACAACCGCCTGGACAGCTTGCGTCAGCTCACGATACTAAGACAGGGGCCGGGAACTGAATCAACTCACCACCCAAGACTGTGTTGCATTGGTAATATCCTGGTTTTCCTGCGCAAGTTTGCGCTGCACTTGTGGTCGCGTAGCAAGAATCCGTCGCGCACGCATAGCCTGAAGCGCAACACCCTCCATCCAAGCTTGCCGCGCATGCAGAGTATCCGGTCGCACAAGTCGTTGTGCCCCTTCGATTGAGGTCGTGAAAGACCGTGACGTGTGCCTTTTCCAGGCGGTGCACCCCATCTCGTCTCTTGAATTCCGCCCCTTCGACTGCTCCGCCCAACAAGTCAACCCCCAGGTACAGCACGCAAAGCGAGCAAGCAATCGCCCTCATGGTGGCGGTGATCGAGCGGATAAGCACAAGCGTGGAGTAGAACAATTGAATTACGGAATCCGCCGATCATCTATGATTTTCCGGATCAGCGAGCGTTTTATCGACAGTCTCGAGTGTAGGTAATCGAACGAGCGACAGCGTAAGGTTCTGGAGAGATCGGCGGCGGTGTAAGGAGCGTTTGGATGATCTTTCGACTCGAGTGATTTGAAGAGCCGGTCAGGTTGGTTGTGAAGAGGGAAAGTTATGCTGGTGCCTTGAGGCGCGAGGAGGATCGAGATGACCCAACGGCAGGTGTGTCTCCGGGGGGCTGAGCGGGTGTACAGCACAGCACCGCAGAACCACAAGCAGTCACACCCCACGATATAATAATCGGCGATCGGGGGCACAGCAATAGGGCTGAAGGACGACGAAGATGGGGAAGTTGTTGAACAAAGCGCTTGTTTTCCACTTGGAAACTCTTCGGTCGTATAGCTCGCGCTGGCAGCGTCAAGTTGAACTCGATACCGCGCGTGCGTGTCTGTCTTCTTCTCGTCAGGTATGATCGACCCGACAGCGGGTGGATGCAGATGAAGATGGAAGAGAAGAGGGCGATCATGTACTGTTCGGGAGGGGAATGGACGGATCCCTAGATTGCGGGCATGTGTGACGGGAGGGCCGTGGCTCATAGCTGGCTCCACGGGTGCATCTTTGGGATGATGGGATTTCTAAAGTGGCTTTTCTGTCAGAGTGTCAGCACTCTGGATAACGGACTTACCCATAATGGGAGAAACGAGGGGTGATGTTCTTCCAATGGGAAGTGAGTAAAGTGTAGTCCCAGCCTCTGGTAAGCCACGATAGCACCATGGAGGAAGACCAAGGTGGAGGGGTATTTGAGAAATGGCACTTTCTCTGGTTGCTCTCGATCACCGCCATTGCTGCGAGTATGCTGGGCGCGACTGGTCTCAGACTCGAAGAGCGAATAGAAACGAAGCAGCTGACAACCTGGTCGGACGTTGTATGCGGTGATGCGGCACGACAATGCCTGTCTTACCGTCCAGAGTGGGCATCGTGTGGTGAGAACGTCGAAGGCCACCAATAAGACGAAGGCGTGAGCTGCAAGTCAACGACAAGCAGCCAACGGGAGCGGCAGCTCAATAGACAACGGGCTGGGAAGCAAGCATGCAGAGCAGCGGCTTGTCGCTGGAGGAGCCCGGGACGTAGATGCGAGTGGGCAGCTTGTTGGCGATGCGCATATTTGGGATTGCTGTCTGCAATGTGTTCCGTCCTTGGTCGTCTTTGGGGGCTGTATCCGAGTAAATGCGACACTGAGCCAACACCAGCGCTTCCATAGCTAACGACCAACAGCATCGGACGAGATTTGTTACGTCCGCAGTGACGAGCCTGCGGCCCAGACTTCTCGAGGAAGCATATGCAGATATCCCACAATATCTATTTGTGAAGATAAGATGTCCAACGAGGCTCATCATCACTTGATGAAACCACCTGTCGTCGAAGCCTTGGCTAGACATGGCCTCGAACTGGCCTCCAAGAGCGGACCAGTACCTTTGAAGAAGCTAGTCAATATCCGAGCCACAAGGATGGCTGCATATTCCAGAAAACAGAAGCAAGACATCGATTTGGTGCCCCATGTTGATGCTTGCAGATTTCCCGTGTCTCACGAATCAACGGCACCCTATACGCCAAACGGCTCTGCGAAGCAAGGCCAAGGCTTTGAACGAAGCTAATATCGAGATGACTGCAACAAGTCTGGTGAAGAAGAGATTCCATTACAAACTTGCAATAAAGTCGAGATTTCTTGATACACGTTTGTCTCAACTTGTGAAGGCCGAGTTGTGATGGCACAGTGGTGGATGAAGTCGACTTCGTTCGGCACGGACCTTGCGTTTGGATGACGCAGGGTATGGGATGAAAAAAGAAAGTTGCAAATGAGCGAACCATCCACTCGGATCTAGTTTGGCCATCAGATGAAAACTTGGGAATTTGGAGGTGTGCTGTTACTCGATCAGAAGCCTACCGAGTGTTCAAAAAGGCACCGAGGCAAATTCGCCCAATGCCTAACGGCATGACAAGAAGTGGCAGGAAGACTATTTGTATCTGCGTCGAGGAAACACTAAGAAACTAATACGACGGATCAAAGCCTGATGCTCGATGAGCGTCTCTGAGCCATCGATGAAATCGAGAGACACTGAAGTTCGGAATGGTGTCTTGTTTGCTTCTCGCAACAACGAAGATGCAAAAGGCAAGTTGCTTGGCTTGAGTTCTCTCCGAGAAGGCACGCACCCGACGGCAGAGTCCCGTCGGTGCCGGATGGGGTACGTATTTGTGGACTATTTATAAATCATCTCAGGCACAACGGCATGGCAGCGGCAGCGGTGGAGAATGGAAGGAAAGAGGGAAAGCCTATGATTGCCCATCCCATGGGCTACGGAGTATTGACAGTGGCCCAAGTCCCAACGAAAGGAACATTACCTGCGTAGCTGCCTGCACTGGAGGTAGAAGGGGGAGAAGATCGGCGTGATCACCGATGGAAACGGGCGAGGAAGGCGTGGACAAGGCGTGGGCGCGGCAGGCACACAGCAAAAGTTACAACTTAGCCGATAGCACCTGCCTCGATCTGGATATTCATTTGCCTGAGGCACTTGGAGTGAGGTACAAAATACTGATGAATGACACCCCAAGAGCGGAAAGAGCAGGGACGCCGCACGAATGCAGGTGCGGACTTCCCTTCCACGTGTGCTTCCCGTTTTCTGTGTGCCTGCCCGTAGGTATCTCAGGAATTACTCGCACTTTCCTCAATGTTTGATCTTCATACACCTGCAGTGTCTATTGGTTCGTTGGTATGGTGGTGAGAGGCAGCAAGAGAAGGAGCAAGTGCGGGCAACCATGCCGTGCTTGCCTCCCGTCACCAGTCTTCACGGTTTACCAGACTTCTACGCAGCCTCAGGCACGTCGTATTTAGATAATTGTAGAATCGGACAGGTAAACAGTCAACTCTTGCCAAAACAAATCTAGGAATAACACTCCTCCTCCCCTTACCTAACAAGGACCAAATTCCAGCCCTTGGCGAGGAACGACGACTCCACAGCAATATCGACGGAATAATGGCGAAAAAAGAGGGCAGAACTTTGGCTCTTTGCTCACTCCTAGGCCCCCAATGCGATTGGACAGCGCGAGGGAAACACCGTCGGCGGAAACCTCACCTTGTCAGTGGGCTCGTGGAGTCGAATCGTCCGCCTGAGGTGGGCTCTGGTCCCTTGGAGTTTCTTTACGACCCGCCGCCCAGCCCTCGTCTCCATTCACGCTGGACGCTCCCGCTGGTTGCCCGCAGCCCGACACTTCCTTCAAGAGTCCCCAGAATATCGACAGGACGCTCCGCTGATCAACTGCTACAAGTTCTGCTTTGGGAGACCTTCCCCGGATTCGTCTCATCTTTTGTCTTCGCTTCTGTCTTTCGCCAAAAAGACAAGCCAAACTCTGCCCTGTGCTTCGTGTGTACTGTTGTGCCGTCAATACCTGGTAGGGCACGGGCAACGGCAACTGTGAACGAATACAAGGGGGTCTCCAAGAATGCCATGCTTTAGGTGCCAGGGTTTACCATTCGCAGCCACCCGAGCAGCTCAAAGTACATACTACTGTCGTCCCTCTTGAGACTTACCTTGCAACCAACAAAATACATCTTTGTACAGCTCAAGTACGAGCCTCGACTTGGTGGTCTGTCCAGCTGAGGCAGACAAAACATTCAGAAAGATCGCCTTGACCGCTCAAGTCGCTCCCCTCACCGTCAACCTCCTCATCCTGCCACTCGCAAGCGTCGCAACCCGCACCCAGGATCCCGTCAGCCCGTCTCTCCTCCGTCACCTACCACCTGGCACCAATCTCGTCCTGCGCCATGTGGTAGCATCGGAGACACGAGGCCCGTCTAGGACTCTGGGTCTTACCCAGCTGGAAAGGGGCTGGAAGCCATCGAGAACATCGTCATAACCATCCAGTCTGTGTCATCTCCAGACTCCAGGCACGCTACCCCATGGCTTGGACGGATCAACGGCGGTTGAGGGCTCGGAGAATGCGGGGAAGAAAACCTTCTTCATCACTTGGCGGCCTGCCTCTAGGATCATGGGTGTGTGTGTGGTTGTGTCTGCGTCTCAACCACAGCTAACATCCCGAGCTAACGTAGCGCTCGAGTCGTGTCGTCACAAGCGTGTGCCTCGTCAAATGCTTGCATTCAATGAAAAAAAAGGCAAAAAGGAGCAGGATCATGGAGGATACATGCAGGGCTTGGCACCCACACACCCACGCACCCTACATCGTCCACCTGCATTCAGACCAACTGCCTTCGCTGATTGCCGTCATGCGCTCGATATCCTAATCAATGGCAATACTCGACAATGTCACAGTTCAAGTCCGATTTATAGGCTGCCAGTCAGTTCACGGCCCCTTGCTACACAACAATTACGGCCCATGGGAAATGAATTGAGCAGTGGCCATCTCGGGTCCGCTGGTAGACTGAAAGACGACACCGCGCGGCTCGATTGGTGGATAGACTAGCATAGTCAAGTGACTTGATTCATTCTTCTACAGCCCAATTAATCAACGCAACCGCAGCCCTGGCGACCCTACGGAGACAACCAGTTGTGCCAATCTCCAATTACAGCACTGCTCTTGGCGGAGCTCAAGCCTGGCTGCCTGGCAGAATCAGAGTTCCGAGCCGTCTGAACGACTACGCCATTTAAACTTTGCCGGTTGCTGCAGGGTCCAGAACACAGGTACCGATGGTATTCGTCCACTGACCATCGAGCTCTGGGAGACCTGCAAGGGAGAGGTGAACATCATCAGGCCTCAGGCAATAGTGGCAACGCAGATGGGCGTCCATTTCACATCAAGAAGGAGGCATGACGTTTCTGGCTCGCTACCGAAAGGAATGCGGCAGAAGCCTACAAAGCCATTCACGAGCCGGAACAGTTGTGACAGGTTCAGTGACTAGCCGGGGATTAGAAGCAGCAGAAGCGTCGTCTTAGCTTCGTTTCTAGCTGGGATGACCGTATACGAACTTTGCGAAGAACGCTACTCCACGCCACCTTCTCATTCTGTTCTATTTCTGCCCTATTCGGCTTCCGGTGGTTGGCAAAGGACGCGCTTTTGGCAGCTGGCATCGGACAATAGTAACAATGGCAGTCAAGTCCCGGGCGCGCGGCGTGGCAGCCAGGTATGGCAGATGCCTTGCAGCAACAGGCCAGTCACCTTTGACCAAATACTGGACGAGAGATTCAATGGGCTGTGTCGATTCTCAGAGGTGACAAGGCCATGGACGAACGGTGGTGTATTCGACGAGGGAAATTGGCAGCATTAGGGTCGAATCGTCACAGTGCAAGATTGTACCTCGCCGTGATTCAGCTAGAGTTCGAAAGAGTGCACATGGACACTACGAGACAGCACCTGTCGAAGGCTCCCCCGGTTCGTATGCCATCCCCTCAAGAACACATTAACAAATTATTACCAACCAGCATCTACCCTGTCATTTGGCCGCCCCCCTCTACTCCAACATCCAGACAAGTCTCCGTACCTACAAACGACAGTGCTGTACGAAGTCTCCTGTAGCTCTTCAGGCGTTGCTCTGGCTCACACCTCGCAAGGAAAGCCTTCCTCACGGCTACCAGTGACCACGCACACACAGACGGGAAGAAAATCACCTTCGCATCTCCCGCCAACAGAGAACAGGCACAGACACCAGTGCACCGCCATCGAGACCGGACTGGAGCCAACGGGCTGCAGACATGTCGACCGAGATTGTGACACCCATCTCCGCACCAAGAATCGCCGCTGTAACCCCGCAAATTTCTCCACCTTTCTGCTTCTAGCACATCTTAGTCTTCCAGGATCTCTTGGTCACGATGTGCGTGATGGCACCAGTCTTGTCAGCATTGGGAAGGACGCCGCCGTCGCCGGCTCTTGGGCGGCGGGCCTTGGGTACTCGCTCGGTACGCCAGCGCGACTTGGGATTCGACCTTGACCTTGGTCCATTTTGGTTGTTTTTGGGGGTGGGCGGGCTTTGTTGGAGAAAAATCGTCAAAACGCCTGGCTGAGCGAGCCCCTTTGCCCATTTGCCTCTTGAAGCCTGAAGGTTCTCGCCGTCTCGGACTCTGCCTCCTTTCTTTCAATGGTATTTGAGCCGGCTCTTACCCGACGTCTTACTTGACTCGCACGAGTGCTCTTTCGACTCTTCTTCTTCTTCTTCTCCCCATTCTCCGCCCTCTCCAAATTCCCCATATCTCGCCGTTCTGCTCCAGTCTCCAGAGGCACCACCTCCATTCCCCATCCCCCACGCCCTAGGAGAACGGACCAACAATACGCATTCGTCTTCACCTCAGCGCATCGGCCCCGGCCCCTGGTCTCCCAAGCTTGCGGCCCCGTCGAAAAAGGGCGAGAACAAGAACCCCAGAAAGAGAGAAAAGCTTTGCTCGTTAAAGCCCGTTTACCCTCGGCACCAGACCGACAAATCGATTCTTAAGCAGAAGGCAAGCAGTATTACGCTGGAACAGAGTCAAGGGGGGAAAAGAGAGACGAGGGAAATACCCACTACACAGACTTGGTCGACTCCCTCCAGTCTCCACGAGCTTCTCGATTCTACCTATTTCACCCCTCCATCCCATAAGGCACCACCAGCAAAACCAGCACCACCTTGCGCCCGCTGGCCCCGACCGTCACCTATTACTGCGGGACCCTACCCGACATCGTGAAAGCCCGTCTTCGCTCGTCTTCTAGGCCAAGTAGCCTCGGTCCACACACTCTCACCGCAGGCCTTCTCCCTTCTCTCCGTGCGTGATGTAGGTGTAGGGCAACTTCGTCCATATACCACATCTTTGAGAGAAACACAACTCCAGCAATCTTGAGAACCGCCATGCCTGTGCGCGCCGCAGGTTCCAGCTCTTGAGCATCATGTTGCTGTATACTAAACTCGCGCCGCCAAAGGCTCCCAAGAGACGATCCAGATCAGGTGAGTCGATACCCAAAC